GAAGACAGGAACCCTGACACTGCCGATAAGGACTGTTTGGGGGAGACAAATAGGGTAATGAATGGAACTGAATTTAGGCAAATAACTAAAGAATGTGCAGTACAAATCAGGGGGGTATTTGGCACAGCAATCGAAGCTAAGAATCTTTGCTGGATACATTCTATATATAGTTATATTTCAAATAAACTTAGTTTTCTGCATTCGTATAGCAACAAAATGATGGAATTTTCAGCCAAAAAGTTACAATTGAATTCCCAATTTTGAGTTTTGATTAATATTTCAAACATTTTCCCATCCAGAAGGGAACCCTCATTACAACCACCCTTTAAACCACGAACAGTCCTAAAGGTAAACCCCCCTATTCCCTCCGCCATTAGATAGAGTATTTCCCAAAAACTAAAGGCCCAATGGAGGGTACTAATTAAATCTGGCCACCGGCGACGGCGTCTACAAAACAGTGGAGTGGATGCACAGCAGATAGGAACGGACAAACTCGCATCTGCTCCTCAGCTTAGGTGGCCGTCATTCGGTTGCTTTCTTCATCAGCAGCAGAATCATCAACAGGAATGGGCAGCAAGGAGTAGGAACCAGGAACAGAAGGACCTGCATGCTTTCAGGCGTAAAGTGTTTGATTATGGTCATTTATTCCGTGCGTTGTCCGTTCGTTCGTCTGTCTGTCTGTCTGTTTGTCTGTTTGTCTGGTTGCCTGTTGTGTTGTGTCTACTTTTTGGGACAACCCACGGAGCAGCACAAACACACACATATGCCGAGAGGACTCCATTATGCTTTGTCTCTCGCGCCAGGAATGAGGTTGCCATGGATTTTGGTTTGCCTTTGCTCACCGTCCCCCCGCCACTGCCCACCCGCTTTCAGGCACATCATCATGTTTATGTCTGAGCGTACGATTAAAATCCCATACATCAGCGAGGTCCGAATCGGATAGCGAGCTGCATACATACATATGTACATACATACATACATACATATATGTATATGCATGAAGGGGTGCTGTATGTAGCCATAGGTTTTGGGGTTTGAGGTTCATTCGATTCGTCTGGCCTCTCTGCTCACTAATTTGTGTGCAATCGCGCATTTAAACGCTGTTGTTTATTAATGCATTTCGTTTAACGACAAAATGTAATGCAAAATTTATGCCGCATATAAAACGGTTGAGGAAAACCCCAAAAATAAACAACAACAACAACACCGACAAAAATCAGTGGCGGCGAAAACGGAAATCTCTGTGTCGTCTGTGTGCTTAAAGCGAAAAGCAACAAAAAAAAATAAAAATAAAGAAAAAAACTAACATGCAAGTTAATTAAGCCGTCATGAACTGCAAAAACACGTGACATGCAGAGAAGCTAGCAATGTACGGTATGTACGAGGATTCGTAGGTACATAAACATTCATGCACTGCGGAAAATGCACTGGAAAATTAGGAATATATTGAGCAAATTAAGTAAAAATCCTCTTGAAAAACGTTGAGAGTATAAGGAAAAGTTTTTAGTCGATCAGGAAATGTGAATTTTAATTGCTTTATGAGGTTTTTCTTTAATAAACCAATTTTATTTATTTAATTTTTTAATTTAAAAAATTCTTTTTTTTCTATTATTATTATTTTTCATAGTGGATTTAAATTGGATTCCCGATTGTAGCAATAAATAGACCAGAAGATCTATAATCCTTCCAGTTTATATTTGTTTTATTTAGGAGATTTTTTAGATATTTTTATATTTTTTTTTTTTTCTAGGGATAGCAAATTTCTTCGCAGTGTAGCGGGCACTGCAGCCCCGAGGCGACTCAAAGGCAAAGAGCCAAACATGGCGCCTGGCCTTTCATACGAGTACTCTTCGCATTCTGTTACCGACCCCTGGACTGACCCCAACACCTACCCTATTCCCTACCCTCCTCTAGAGAACCTCTCCATAGCCTGGGGGGTTCGCTCAAAAAAGCAACTGGTGATGCGTATCGCAAAAGCACGGGCAAAACCCCCCACTGAAAAAAATGCTATATAAAAAATGCGAGCGCACGTTGAGGTTTCTCTCCTGCGTGCTCTTCATTTCCGTCGCTTTTATAACCGGTTCTCAAAGAGTAAAAGGATAAATGGAATTTGTGTAAGGATTATCTATGTTACAGATGGAAGGAAGTCATTATAAACACATAAACTATATGTCCTTATCTATTATTCACAGGAAACTGAAGAAAAATTGTAACTGTTCAAAATTTTAATGACTTTATTTCTTAAGATTTTGAGTAATGATTATGACACATCATTAACCATCATAAAACAATGAATAATTATAGAAATACTTTTTCTGTCTCAAAATACAAAAAAAAAACAAATTCCGTTAAAGTTTGAAATACCAGCTTCAAATATCCTTGTAAGTGTAATAGGAAATTTACACATTTCCCTGTGGCACAAACATTTGGGGAACAATTACAACAAATAGCAAATATTCCAACCAACTCCGAATTACGGCATAAATAATGGTAAACAATTGTTCCCTTTCGTATCATTTTGGTTGGCATAAAATTAACCCTTATTGAGGAATATCTAATACACACACCAACTCGGAAAAATATCCTTAAAGAGGGTTAAACTAGGGAATATTATATGAAATATCCTAAAAAAAAATGTACCCTTGGACAAATTTCCCCACCTACAAATGTGAAGTTCCGTATTGTTTGGTTTATAATAAAATAATCTCCCGCACATATATTTCCTATCTTCCGATTTCACCCTACTGATAAATGTCCAGTGCGTGAATGACATAAAAAAGTTTTATCTACGATGTAGATCTGCCCCTTGGGCAATACACGGCACGTGTTGAATTGCCTCCAGAGGCGTATACCATGGGGGGCTGGGCTATCTATACTTTGCTAATCTTTAAGTAAACATTTTTAATATGCTTGGCAGCAGATACGGAATACCTGACGATAATGTTTTAATTAATATATTGTGGAGATATTTCGTATCAGAACACTTATTACGATTACGAGCATGACCACACCCGATTTATAGGCTATGCATATGATGATTATAATGATTACACATACGTAGAATGATGACAAGGTTCTCGTCGTTAAGTGGCTATATTTTTTGAAGGGTGTATGACTTTATAATATATGAAGTTACAGGCTAGAAAGGTATGTGGCTTATGTGAAGTGCGAAAATATATTAGAAACCCATAAATGCAAATTTTTGGTACAATTCAATTCATGGAGTGCACCTTGACAGACAAGGATCATCTCTTGGTGAAAAACTTTACTGGATATAAAATAGTAAATAAATTGTTCCAGATTAAACCTAAACAAAATTACCATAAATTCAAAACAAAAATTTCTAAAAATATTTAATATTTTAAACAAATATTTAAAAAAATATAAAGAACAAAACTTAAAAAAATATTAAATAAATCGAAAGCCACCGGTAATACACCAAACATAATGATAATAAATAAATATTAAATATTAATACAGGAAATTTCCTAGTCTAAGTTCTGGTGCCAAGGTTCTATTTATTTATACATGCTTCAGATGGTAGGATTAAGACCCCCTCTGGAATGACATTGATTTAAACTAAAGATTGCGTTTTTTGACTTAACGACAAATTAATCGTTTTAAACTACGTCCATGTTCCATCTCAATTCTATTCTTTACACAGAATTATATTCCTCTCACTCATTTGTACGGGGATGGGCTAAATTTTATAATCAGCATTCATCAAGCGTGCGAACCCAGAACCTCTGACGTCAGGCAAAAACAAACTAAAACTAAATCTAAATTATACGACACACGAAACGCGACACAATCAAATACAAGCATACCCATAGGTATAGTATATGTATAGTATAGTATACACGCATCTAAAACGAGTACATAACACTGGGATGATAACACGTAGAGCAAACATCGAAATTCATACTAGTTCTGTTGACTTATTGACAGGCGGTGCTCCAGCCGTCAGAGCACCGCCTGTTTGGCTAACCGCACTACCGGCAAACACCGCCACACTCGAGCGGAATTGATATATAGGTCTCAAAATATTGGAGTCTCCAGTGAGCGGCATTCATTACGTTGGAGGGACAGCCGGTTTGCCGGTGTCAAGAGCCCCGTTAAATACAAGAAAAAACAGATTTAATTACTGCCCTATCAACCCACAAGCATGTGTAGTCCAAAATCTCTCATTAGCGTTTTGTTTTTCTTTTTTGTTTTATTATTAAAAAGTCAATGACTATGCACAAAACCCCCCTGAAACTAGAAAAGGCAACGAGATAGAGACTAGTCTCTATTAAGTGGAAGCAGTGGGACAAGAGTCATTGGATATGATATAATAAGGGGTTAATTCAGTGATCATAAAAATGATCATTGCAAATAGACGAAAATAAAAGAAAAAATTCTTATATAGAAAAAAATAAATGAAAACATAATAAATGAAGAAATCACTAACAAAAAATTGAGGTTGATAAATGAAAATAAAACTCTTAATTTTTTATGACAAAAATTATGAAATAAATTTGTAAAACAACTCTTTTATTTTTAATTTTTATCTAAAAACAACTTGCTTTAAAAATGGTGGTAAAAGGAAGACGATAAAAATAATAATTAAAACCAGAGTAAAAGTTCCTTGAACTTCCCAAAGAACAGGATAAAATATTATGAGATTTATACAGTAAGTTTTCAACTCTATGCCATCCAATGCTCCTTTCTTCATTACTTACACACTCTTTATATAGTCAAACAAAAAAGCAAACAACGAAGACCAATTAAAACCCCCAATAAACATAAACTAAAGCACTTTCGAGCAGTTCTATTACCACTGTCCCATCGCCCGCTTGTCGCTCAATGAATTTAGTTTTCATGATGACACCACAGCAGAGCGAGCCCATTTGGAGAGCACAAAATTGTCGTAGCAAAACAAAAACAAAAAGTACCTGCCAAAAACCCAACGACGAACCAAAATTATAAAACGCTGCGTTCTCTGTGGCACTGAAATCAGTCTGAAGCGGCAGGTTAGCGTGAAAGTGTTGCCTGACGAAAATAAATCTACAGTAAAAATAGTTAAAAAAAAAAAACCAAAAAAGAAAAACCTCTCGAAATGGTGATCATAAATAACGAGCAAAAGATTTCGGTGCCCGAGTACTTGAACGAACAGTTCTTCACGGAAACGCTGGAAGAGGGTCTGCGGGAGACGAAGGTTACCTTAAAGGAAATCAACTTTGAGTGGGGCAGCAATCCGGGGGATAACTACTGCTCGGCCATCTATCGCGTTCAGGTGACATTCGCCAAATGGTCGGATAACAAGGAGTCCGCGAAGACGGAGCAGCTTTCGCTGATTGTCAAGACCATTCCGATCACAGAGGCCACACAGTTCCTCGAGGATGTCAGTGTTTTCATCAAGGAGAAGCAGACCTACACGGACATTCTGCCACGATTGGATATACTCAGTCGCGGCGACAAGTTTGGTGCCAAGTGAGTGAAAGTTTTGTCACTGCCAGAAAGTTCCCCCAATTAATGTTCTGTAATCCTCTCCATAGATACTATTATTCTGTTAAGGGTCCCGTGCAGACGATTGTCTTTAGCGACCTGAAAGTGGAGGGCTTCAAGGTGGCCTCACGCGAGACAGGACTCGACTGGAATCATGCCTCGCTTATTCTGCAGCAGCTGGGTAAATTCCATGCCACTTCCATGGTGCTGGCCAAGAAGGATCCAGAGATCGTCAAGCAGTACACACGTGGCATGCTCAGCGAGGATATCCTCATGAAGAGCGACACCTTTGAGAATATGTTTGGGGGCTTCCTCAAGGGTCTCATCAAGAGTTCTGCCGGATGGGCCGGCTACAAGCACATCAGCGCACATCTCCAGCGTTTGAGTGACAATTTCCGGAATGTGTGTGCAGCGGCTCCGAAGCCCAAGTCCGGTGATCGTTATGTGGTGCTCAATCACGGCGACATGTGGACCAACAACTTCATGTATGGCTATGACAATGCCGCCCAGCCCGAGGTACCCACGCGCGCCATCTTCGTGGACTTTCAGCTGTCGTTTTATGGCAGTCCTGCCTGCGATCTGAACTTCTTCCTGAATGCCAGCCTCAAGTTCGAGTTGGTACAAGAGCGTCGCGAGGAGCTCATCGAGGTGTACTATAAGGCCTTCAGGGATGCCCTGGAGTACGCACGCTTTGAGAATATTCCCACCTACGAGGACCTGCTGTATGAGCTGCGTAGCCGCGAAACCTATGGCCTGTTTGCCCTGTTTGCCTTCCTGCCCATGATCACCATGCCCAAGGAGCTGTCGGCGGACAACAGCATCGACAACATGCAGGACGAGGCCTTCAAGCAGAAGAAACTGGAAGCCATCTTTGCGCAAAAGTCTCTCAATGATTACCAGAAATGGGCCCTCAAGCGTTTCGATAAGCTCGGCGTCTTTGGCGATTACTAGCCGCTGCAGTTCTCTTCCTATTGATATTGGGGATTCACTAACCTTTGTGATAAAAGATATACAAAAGATGATGGATGGCACCGAGCACCACATCTGTGCAACAGAGCAGCCTACTTATTGTTGATTTTGTGTACAGTTTTCTGCCACAGGTTTCTGTATTGTAGAAATGGAGTTGAATTAAAAGAAACCAATGCAATTGGATTTTTGTAATGGATTTTAAATAATTGTTTTAATGGGGGAGCGACTGCTGAGAGAGGTCATGGCTGGGTTTCTTATCAGCAGATATCAGTGGTAATATTTGGAAATGTTTCTTGTCACATTATCACGTTAAAGCGAATGATATGCAGTGGAAAATCAAAAGATAGCAACAAACCGATAAGATATAAGAAACAAAGTAAGGCTAAAAGTCAATAAAGCTTTAAGAAAAAGGAGTACATTTTTCTGTTTTAGTCATCTCAAATCTCAGAAAATCCTTTTCGGAGAATTATAATCAATGAAAGATATTTTTACTGCGCCCAATGCTACGTCCTTGCTGCCAACTGCTAACATCGCTCGACACGCACAGGCGAATTTATACAAGAGAGAATGCCCGACAATAGCATAGAAACAAATTACATGTCATGTACATGACGCATACTATTGTTGCTCAAATCGAAGCGCAGTAGGGAAGCCTGCAAAAGGCATACAAAAACCAATTACATGTCGTGTACATGACGAGGCAAATTGAGGCTCAAACGAAAGAATTTTGACTACGAAAAGAAACAAAATACTCAACAGTTAAAGCTATTCCCAGTATAATCGAAGCTCTAAGTGATGGGAAATGCTTCCTAAATCAAATAAAAATTAAAGAGCAAGAAGCAAGTACCCTCCTTTCGATAGTATAGATTTCTAGTTGTCTAGACTTGAACGCTGTCGAATTCTAATTTTAGAGAGTGCAAAACAATTAAATAACATAAATATAACTCTTTGTGGTACATCAGTGGCGTTTCCTCAGACATTTTCATTATGTCTTCATTTGATCAAAAGCCCACACCGCTAATCCCCACTGAGAATGCACTTCCATTAAGGCAATTGACGGCAGGTTCAGTGCCCCAATGCCCCGAACCCATTAAGATCAATTAGAAGAAACAGAAATCAGTTGGAAACATCGACGAGATTTCACATATAAATGCACCGAATAATGCACCAATCAATGGCATATTGAAGCACCATGTCGGACACAACGGAGGAGCAGCTGCCGCTGTATCTAACGCCGCAGTTCTTTAAGCGCACTCTCGAGCACGGCCTGCAGCAGCAGGATCTAAAGGTGCTCGAAGTTCAACTGACGAATCTGACGCGTGGCGGCGAGAACTATTGCAGCAACATTTACAGGGCCAACATTCAGTATCGGAATGCGGAGGGCAGACATGTGGAGACATCGCTGATTGTCAAATCCATGCCGGACGAGAAGCAGGCCATTCTGGCCAGGCTGCACATCTACAACAAGGAGAGCATCTTCTATATGCACATCAAGCCAAAGTTGGAGACGCTCATGTGGGGCAAAAACGATGCCACAGAGCCCTGGACATTGGGTGCCAGGTAAGACATGACACAGAGACACAGGCTTCCATTCTCCTTTTCGCTGTACCTTATCGCTCTTTTGGACAGACACTACTACTCCACAACGCAGCCCGAGCAGACCATTATCTTTGAGGACCTCTGCTGCGAGGGATATCAATTGAAATGCCGTCAACTCGGTCTGGACATGGAACATGCGACGCTTTTGATGCGAAAACTGGCCGAATATCATGCCCTAACCATGGTAATGGCCGAGCACGAGCCAGAGATCATCATCGATCGCTATCCCTTTGGACTGCTGCACATGGATGCCATCAAATCGGAGCCCTTCAAGCTGCTCTTTGGCACACAGCTCCTGAAACTGGCAGCTCTGGTGGGCGATAGCGAGGGTTTTGGTGCAATAACCTCGAAACTTTATCGCTACCACGAGCATTTCACAGAGCGTATCCTAAAGGCGGTGTATCCATTGAGGGGAAATCTGAACGTACTCAACCATGGCGATCTGTGGGTGAACAATATATTCTTTAAGTACAATCAGGACTACAAAGTGGAGCAGGTGAAGATTGTGAGTGCAACCATACACAGAGAGTTACCAGCGGGAGAGAGAGTCACTCTCTATATATGTACATATATAAATCCCTCTTGCAGATCGACTTTCAGCTGTGTTTCTATGGCAGCCTGGGCTTTGACATCAACTATTTCCTGAACACCAGCCTGGAGCTGGATGTGCTACGTAGCCAGCGTCAGCGTCTCATTGACATCTACTACGAGGCATTGGTGGCGTGTCTGGAGCAGTTGCCTTGGTCCAAGCCACTGCCCACATATGATGCCGTTATGGCGGAGATAAAGGCACGCGAGGCTTACGGCTTCTTTGTGGCCTTTGGCTTCTTTCCGCTGATGAGCATGATTGGTGTCGATTCGGAGGATAACTCATTGAAGAACTTTCACGACGAGACCTTTGCCCGCCAGAAGGTGCAGCTGATGTTCGAGGGAAATGCACGCACCCTGGAGAGCCTAAAGTGTACGCTGAAGCGTCTGGATGAGATGCATCTGTTCGAGTGAGCGTTCGTAAATTGTTTATAAAATATATTATACTGCCGCCACCCTTCGGAAATTGAATAAAGCATTCCGACAGACACGACTTGATTGCCATCCCTCCCCCTCCATTCCCATTGGAAGTTTTGCTGTCGCTTGACGCTTTAACTAAATTTGTATGTTATATACGAGATCATGTAGGAATTAAAAGCAAATATCACTAGCGAAAATAACGTGTTGGCAGCCCCCACATTAGCCCCACATTGCATGCAGATAATGGCAATAAATTGATAAGATAAATACACGATAATAACAACAAATTGATAAATGGAATATAAAATATAGATATTAGTTGGTATTTAAATAAGAATCAACAGAATTTCACATGGTTTCACATGAGGGGAGGATAATTACCACAAAAACTCTCAATAAATTAGCATATACTTATTTTTAGAAATACACAAGCCACAAATTATTATGAATTTATTTTGAATGGTAAAAAAAAAATACTCTTTCAGAACGGGGAGTTTTAGGAAATAATTTAAAAATATAGGGCTTATAAAGAGTGCAATCTGAGCTAAAAGTGTTGAAGAATAGAGATTAAAAACTAATAACAAGTAAAGTAAAACTCATTGAATTTTTACAACATTTTTACTCCGTAGTAAAAAGGGTCTCGCATCAAAAGTAACAACCAACTAACCTAATAGAATCGTCTAAAGAATAAAAGTGCTAGCATATAAATCAGCAAGAAAGATTGCTACCTTTGTACCAGTAAAAACCAGTAAAATACAAAGTATCGTATAATATAAATCGAGAGAAATTCGTGCAGGCATTTATCCGCAGACCGCACCCTATATACATATATAAACATATATAATGCCGATTAAAATAATGCAAATACACAGCTATGAAGCTTGATAAGATAATCGGCTGTCAATCAGTTCGAATGAAAGCCTATAGCCAGCTATCGCTCAGAGCGCGGGAGATGATGATATTTCACGAAAACTGAATACAGGAAATCGAATTACTGGCACCGAAATTGTATGAAAAAGGCCGCCTGCGCGTCTCATTCGAGTGTGTTGCGTGTTTTGAGCATATCGAAAATTAGACAACAAGTTTACGCCTATTAAGAGAATTTATACTCTCGTCTAAAAAAAAAACATATAACTATAATTAATTGGCAAATGGAAACAGACGCTGGGACTGTGTGTGTCTCGTGTCGCATATAAAATAGAGGGGCACTCGCTCCACGCTTTTCAAACGATCACAAAATGTGCAGCATTGTGTATGATGCGGATGTGGCCGCTCCGCCCAAGCATCTGGATGTGGCTTTCTTTGAGGAGGTGCTAGAGACGGCCCTGAGAACGGCCAGGGTCCAGCTGCTGACAATTCACATTCGGATGGGCAGCAGCACCGGCGAGAACTACTGCAGTCAGATCTATCGGGCAAAGGTGGCGTATCGGCTGCCCGGCCAGGCGGACCAGCACATGATGTTCATTGTGAAGAGCATACCGCGCTTGGAGTCCGTGGAGTTTATTGAGGATCTGCAGGTGTACTTGAAGGAGAAGATAACCTATCACGATGTGCTGCCCCGCCTCGAGCTGCTCATGCAATGCAAGCGGCGCTTTGGACCCAAGTAAGAAGGGTTCGGAGTATAGAAGGATAAATTTCCGTATTTAATTTCGACTTTTTGCAGACTCTTTCAGTGCCTTAAGCAGCCGGAGAACACGCTGGTGTTTGAGGATCTCGGCCATTTAGGCTTTGTGATGGCCTCCCGCGAATCGGGCCTGAACGAGGAACACTGCCGTTTGGTTATGGAACGTCTGGGCGAGTTCCATGCCACCTCCATGGCCCTGGCAGTGCTCGATCCGCACCTCTTTGAGTCCTACAGCGATGGCATGCTGTCACCCACTGGCCTGGCCAAGGCCGATGGCCTGCTGATGCGCTTCTTTGCGGGCAACGGAGAGGAGCTGCACACCATGGTGAGCACCTGGCCGGGATACGAGCGAATTGCCGAAAAGATTGGCAAATACATGAAGAATCAGCGCACGAATCTGGTGCGCAGCCAGGCGCCGCAGCCGAAGGAGATCAGGGTGCTCAACCACGGCGACCTGTGGGTCAATAATCTGCTCTTCAAATACGACAACGCCAAGCGGCCCCAGGACCTGATCTTGATCGACTTCCAGCTGAGCATCTGGGGCAGTCCGGGCATCGATCTGAACTACTTTTTCTACACCAGCCTCAGCCTGGAGGTGCTGCGAGACAAGCGACCCCAGCTGCTGCGTATCTACCACACGCGGATGTCGGAGACGCTGCTAAACCTGGACCTGGGCATACCGGTGCCCAGCTACGAGCAAATACTGGAGGAGGTGCACCGCCGCGAGTGCTACGGTTTTTTTGCCAGCTATGGCATATTCCCCACCGTCAGCCAGGACAAGTCCCAGACCGCCGACAACAATCTGGAGAATTTCACCGACGCCGACTTTGCCAAGCAGAAGGTTAGACAAATGTTCGAGTCCCCGCGTCTGCGGGAGACTTTGCGCCACACTTTGCCGCATTTCGAGCGGGCTGGCGTCTTAGATTAAAGTAATAATATCACTTACTTGTTACTAAATACGTTTAGACGGTTGCGCAAAGCTTAAATTATCGCTAAAACACTTTAAATATCACTTTTTGCACACTTGAAATGTTTTGCCACCAAATTTTCCATTTACCGTTTACCGTTATGGCCATTAACAGCACTTTGTGTGCATTAACAGCGCGCACTTGTGAGTCAGTGAACGCACTTAACCCACTTCAGCCCCCTCTAATTAAACAGTTGAACAACTTGAGTTAAATTTCGGTAAATACCACTGTTTTTAAGTTCTCTTTGTATATCCGTATCTCCTCTTTATTTAGAAAATAAAAATGATCACGTTATACTTCAACTGAACTGTGCTTCAAGTTTCATAATTTACGTGGGAATATTTATTACCCCCTGGCTGACAATGGGCTAATGTTCTTTTTTCGAAATCATATTTCCCGATTTTGATATTCGGCTTAATATTTCCAGCTAGCGAGGACTCTTAGTACAAAACATATAAATTTACCCGATAGATTAAATAATTCCAGCTATGATTATGGGCATTTGAATACACAATTTCTTTTAATTAATGTTAAATTTCTGTTTTTAAAGCTGCTGTGAAAATTATGACACACTTTGTGCAGTAACAGTGCGCTGTTACCCTTAACAGCGCTTGTACGCTCAACAAATTCAACTCTGACTCATCGATTGGGCTTGCTATCGAAGCAAAGGCGCGCATTTTAAATGCATGCTTGAAAAACATTTATTTTGTAAAAATATATATATATTTGACTTGTTTTTGTTTTGTGTTTATTTGTTAAAATACAATTTCAGTGTCATTGATAAAATTGCACAACATGTCTCGTATTTGTTTTGAAATCACCAAGAGAATACAAAATAAAATGCTTGTAAAAATGTGTTTTAAATTAATAATCGCACACACATACAAAACTACTTAAAACAATAACTTGATTAAGCGCTCATGTGCATTAAACAATGCGGAAACATTGCGTCTCGCTTCACAATCCGAAGGCACAAACATTTATAATCATTTTTTGTTTAAACTAAGATGTACATACACATAATAATCATTACTACTCATTCACTGTTTGTTGAACCGCAGAAGGAGTTCCCAAACCAAAAATTATTACGCCTATTTACGCTTAACAAACTAGACAACTTTAAGCTTATCGTGTGGCCTATTTATGGTGTTTTCCATTGCGTGTGTGTGTGTGTGTGTGTGTTTTCTTTTTCTATGCGTGTTTCGACTCTCATTTGCTTTTGTGTAGAAAGAAGGGGAAAGAAGAGGACGCCGCTCCGATTAGCTCCAGACATCGGCGGAGTAGCGCTTCTGGGCCTCCATCTTCTTGATATACTGCACGGCATCGGCCTCGCTCATGTTACCCTTGGTGGACAAAATTTTCACTAAAATGTTCCTAACGTCCACGGCCATGTTCTTGGCGTCACTGCGGGCGCGGTGGGGGGGGGAGGAGACAAAGACAATGTAAGGTCAAAAGTCAGTTAAAGGATTTCGCTTGGCAGCAGCAGCCAACTCACCCGCATATGTAAAAGTGTCCCTTGTTCTCGCCAATCGCATTCCATATCAGATCCGCATCCTGCTCCAGCAGATGCTGCACATAGACCTTCTTGCCGGAGTCCCGGGAGAAGGCCGCCTTGAGATTGAGCGTGCCCTTCTTGACCCATTCCTCCAGCTCGGACTCGTAGATGTAGTCCTCGCTGCGCTTGCGGCAGCCAAAATAGAGCACCGATTCGCCCACTGTCTTGCCCTCATCGCGCAGGAACTGTCGCTCCTGGATGAAGCCGCGGAAGGGCGCCAGACCGGTGCCCGGTCCCACCATGATAATGGGCGTCTCTGGCTTCGTGGGCAGCCTAAATTGCGACTTGCGAATGAAGACGGGCACCTTCACTTCGTCGCTGCCGCCGGGCACCTTGTTCTTCAGGTAGGTGGTGGCCACACCCTTGTTCGTACGGCCCGTGGGCGTTTTGTACTCGACCAGAACGGCCGTCACATGGACATCGGTGGGATGCAGCTTGGCAGACGATGAGATCGAGTAGTAGCGTGGCTGCAGGCGCGGCAGCAGCTCGCAAACATGATCGATGGGCGGCCTGCAGGACTTGATGTCCTCCAGAATGTGGACAACATTGCGACAGGCATCCTGGATCCAGCTCTGGTACTTCTCCTTGCCCTCCGGGCTAATGGAGGCCATGCTGCGCAGCAGTTCCTTCTCCTTCTCGTCCGTGCAGTACTCGGCCAGTTCCTTGAGTATGTGCGTGCGCGGAATGGCAGTAATCTCCAGGTAGTGGGTGAGGGCCGTGCGATAGGTGGTGGGGCAGGGGAACGGATGCTTCTTGCTGCTGTCCGTGTCCGTGTTAATCAGTGAGAACACCGTATCCAGATCGGCATTGCACAGCTGTCCCAGCTTCTCCACGAGACTCTTGTCGTTGATCGGATACATGGCCACATGATCACCGGCATCGTAGCGCATCTTGGAGCCCTCGATGCTCAGCTCGATGTGCATGCACGACCGTCCGCCGCCCTTGTGCAGCTCCCGATTGACCTTGATGGGCGCCAGGAACGGATTCTTGGCATCGAAGGGCGGTCGCTGATTCTGCATCGAGTGCAGGCGTGCAATCTCGCCCGTATAGATCCTATCCGGCTGCACATCCGGCTGTTCCAGCAGACGGTACTGGCGTATCAGCACCTCCTCGCCGCCGCCCTCAATGCCAAAGTGATCGCAAACGGCTGGCCAGAAGCGATCCTTCCACGTGATGAAGTCATCCTCAATGCTGCAGTGGGTAGGGGGGGGAATAATGCTGTGAGTATAACCCCCAAAAAAAATTGGACTTTGCTTTAGGTTTTAGCACTTACTTGGCATCGTCATCGCCCAGTCCCAGCTCAAAGACACGATTGGCGCCCAGCTCCTCCAGCCGCTTGTCCACATAGATGGCCACCTTGTTGTAGTGCTCGTAGGTTTTGTTGCCCAGCCCAAAGACCTAGGGGAGGGAAGACCAGCAATTATTGTAGATTGTGTGCGCAGCATTGGGCACGAGCAGTGTATGTACTTAGGCGATTAGGTATTACCGCATGTTGCGTCTGTCTGTGGAGCCTTTTTGTCTTATTACATAAACTATAAAGTAGGCCGCGCAAAGTTCGCAGCCTCTGGGGCCGGCACGTGCCAAGGCCGCCAGCGGCGCCGACGGCTGCCAACGTGTTTAGCATGTGGATCGCTTCAACAGGTGGATCGGGGGGGGAGGCGTTACATTATCAATTATTAATCGCCATTTCCACTTTTAATTAAACTTTTTCAAAAACAATTCATGTCAACCGAATGGGCGGTGGGCGGTGGGCGGCGTGCTGACCATATGACCGGCGGATTTTTTCTTTGTCGTTTTAATTCGCTTTTTGTAACTCTCCTTTGAAAATTGAAACGAGCCGCTGATTGGAAGTTCTCATGTTTCCCAATTGTGGGTGGGATTTTTCCCAATTGTGGCTATTGGAATTATAAAAATCTAGTTGGAGCTCATTTTTCAACGCAAAGATGAGAGTGTGGCCAAAAATGCCCAAAAAGTATTCACTTACAATAGCTGACTGCTACAATAGCGTCACTACAATGAGCCTCGATAACGAGTTCATGGACATCGATAACAAGTTGGCGGTTGTATTCGTATTTAAAATTAATTTTGATTAGAATGTTTCTATGCAACTGGTGCTGATAAGTTATTTAAAGACTACAAATAATCTCACACGTATTGAAAGATTATTTTATAGCTAAACACAGGCTAGACTTTAGTCGTCCCATAACAGAATTTCTTGTGGGAAGAACAATCTGGTACAAAAAAAAAAAAGGGGCTTGATAGTGATAGGTACAGTGCGTTTCAGCAAGATAATTCGAAATTAAGTATTCTGTATGGTATTGAACATTTTGTATAATTTTCTGTAGCCTACAATTATGGTAATTTCGGTATAAAGAAAATTTAGAAGTAATTAATAATTTTTTTAGACTATAATTCAACACAAAAAGATAATTTTATGAGTAAAATCAGCCGCCTAATGGACATGAATCATACGATTAAGGAACATAGTCAATCAAGGTGATGAAAAGTCTACGAAATTCGCACTTGCTAATGTAATTAAATGATTCACACGCACGGATGGCCACGAAACGCATTGTGATAATCATTGAACAAACCAAGTTTAGCCGCTTGAAGCAAAGCTTGACACATCATCTGGTAGTCTGATAATCCAAAAATACGTTCCACGAATCGAATTACACGGAAATGCCATTAGGAAAGTTATTCTGGCGCTTACATCAGGCTGTGTATCGCGCGGAGATCAACAAACAAAACACTCGGCGGACATACAAACGAAAATAGAGACACCAAATTGTAGTAGTTGGGGCTGGTGGGCCACCTTATCAGCAGGGGTGGGGGGCACTGTTCGATAACCCGCCCAGCCGTTGACTGGCGATTGCCTGGCCCCATTTGAAGGCCAGGCAGGCGACTCATGTAATCGGCGTTTTGTTTAGATAGCCGCTGGCTTGGCTGGGTGCTGTTTTTTTTTTTTTTTTATCTGTACTCAACTCACCGCATAATTGAGACCAGTTAGATCGACATCGCCGTTGGTTATCCACTCGTAGAACTCCATGGCATTGTCCGTGGGATCGCCCTCGCCATAGGTGGCCAGGGCGAACACGGCCAGCGAGTTGGAGATGTCCTTCAGCTGCAGCAGCTCCTCCATATCACATTCCTCGGGATCGGCAACCATGCCCTTGAGACGATAGCGAATGCCCTCCTTGGCCAGACGGCCGGCAAACTCCTCGCCAGTGCCGGTCTGAGAGCCATAGAAGACCACCAGGCTGCGTCCCGAGGCCTTTAGCTTCTTAATGAACGAATTATCGGCAACACTGGTCGTGCACACTGTTGTGGGTCTGCAAAGGAGGATGGAGGCAAGAGATTCAAATTAGTATTTAATAAGTGTGAATAAAGAGTGCTCAAAATACTCGACTCACTGTATGGAATAGCTGCGTGTGGGCTCCTCCTCCTTCTTGCGGCTACGCAGAAAGTAAAAGGCTGCTCCTCCGATCAGGACCGCGAGCAGTGCCACATCGAGGAGTCCCAGAAAGGGTTCGTCGCCGGCAGCGACGGCATCGGCGGCGGCTGCTGCTGCTCCCTCCATTGTCTGCTCACTAGCCATTTAGGTGACACAAGTCCGACTGCAAAAAGGGCACAACATTCACGGCGTTTAGTTTAGTTTTTTTTATTTTGGTTTTCAGGCTGCCGCTGCTGCTGCTGCTGCTGCTGCGCTGCTGCTGCTGCTGTTGTTCTGCGAATCGACGCGGGGTTTAGGTTTAGTTCGCTTTGCATAACATTTGTTGTGGCTGTGATTTGCATGTGCCGCCGCACTTTGGACACGCATTTTAATGTATGCCACGTAACCCACGAAACACTATACACATCGGCCCACACACACACACACACACACACACACACACACACAGCACAGCGTAAAAATGAAACGGAATGAAGCGATTCGATTCTACAGGCTGGACTGCTGGCTGCTGTTTTGCATCTAACGGTACGCTGCTTCCGCACTTGTTTTAACGGTACTCGCCCTCTCTATCTCTCTTACTCTCTCTCTTTATGTACCCTCTCTCTCTCTCTCTGTCTTTCTAACTCTTTCTTGCGCTTCGATGACATTGAAAACGTGTCGCGAAATGTGATTTTAATCGTTGGCACCTTGAAATACAATTTTTGTACCTGTTTTTATTTATTTTTATTTTTGTTGCAGCACTGCCCCGCACACGTCTCAAGCAATTTGCAGTTATTGCAATTAAAAAATTACTAATTTCATTTGGGGATTTGTGGGGCAAACGACAATCGTACGCGACGCTTAACAGTGAACTGTTAACTGTTAACTGTTTGTCGGCATTCGGTCAGCAACAGGTTTTTATTCACAATATTGCTTATCGCTCCGCCCGGTGAGGAAAGCGAAGCTGAAGCGAAGCGAAAGATATGATGAAAACGACAAATGTTTCTTGCAATCGAGACTTTGGCAAACATTTACAAACTTCATAGAGGGGTTTATATTCAAAAAATATGTTCGTCAGACACCTGTATCTAGGGGCAGACCTTTGATCGAAGTTTTCTGAGATGAAAAGCTAAATTATTTTTGTTTGAAATTTATGCCATGCCTTGTGAAACACCCAAGAAACGGGAAGGAGTTGTGTGTTTTGATGGCTCATTTATTTATACAATATTTATTTATTTTTAAAATATTTTTAAAGCTCTGATTGATATTTTTATATTACTAATTTACTTTATGTCATTTAAAACTGCTTCTATAAAGCATAAGAAACCTGCATAAAGGAGTGATATCTAGTAGATAAATAAATATATCTATTATCTACCAGATATCAACACCATCATTTCCATTAGTCCACCCAAAACAAGGAAGTATCTGCCCTGCTATATGACTTTACGCTTCTTGAATAGCAAAATAAATCGAAGAAAAATATTTTCCTACATGTTTTGATGTATATTGCCCACGTTTGTAACTAAAGTTTGACCCGATTTGACCCGATCTTTTGTATATATGTACCTAGTGTTATATTTCGAGCATATATTGTGCAGTCGCAGTCGCTGGCGCTGTCGTAGAAGTGGACGTAAAACCTAAACTGCTGGTTGGTTGGGCACCTTGAATTCGAAATTGACTTAATACTTTAATGTTACTACTAATGCGACGCCGCCGCCAGTCAATAGTTTCACTCGGTACCCGGTTCGGGTCGGGTCGGGGGGGCGTCGCGTACGTCGCATACGTCGTATACGACGCGTAATCCTCTACTTTGCATAGAGAAGCAAGCAGCAGTGCTCGCGCGTAATACTTTTAGCGCATGCAGCGTATATAGTTCTCATTGTTCTTGTTGCTGTGGTCAGCAAATGGCAAAAAAATAAATATTAAACATGTGCCAGACAGACAGTCGAAACCCCTTAGGCGACTAGGCGGCAGTGCCCCACACATGCAAATCAGACAGCGTAATAGTAGTGTCGTCGTCGTTGTCGTCGTTGTCGTCGTCACAGTCACCATCCGATTCCGAGCTTTTGATTTGGTGTAGCCGAAAGGTGCCTCTGTGTGGCTTCAATCAAATTGAAGCAAAATTCAAGCAGCAAGTGTGCTAGGGAAACTGTTGGATTTTTATAGGTCAGACCCCATAGACGGAGTGTGACGATTGCAGGGGGTTGGCAGTGGCAATGCTTAAGAGGGATTTTTGGTTAAGAAAAGTACTTCAAAAGGGAACCAAAGCTGCCATGAAAATGATAATATAATTTATTATTTAATATTTTAAATGAAGACGGAAGATTGAAAGGAACAACAGGAAAGATATCCAGAAATTAAATAAAACTACAAGATAACACAGCAGGCTATAATTTAACATCCGTCTTACAGAAGAAGAAAGCGAAATAAACAAAACAAAAAAAAAACAAAAAACTCTTTAAGTGTCATTTCAGATAAAATTAGCAATTTTAGATGCGATGAAAGTGAAGATGGGAAAGAATATACCATGTAAGAATGAATGAATATATGAATAAAACTCAATACAGCTGGGGGCAGCAGGGAGAATGAATGTTACGAGATGTTGACCTGAAGATGAAGAAGAATGTTATTCTTAGCCCAAAAAGGAAGTGAACTTATTAGCACATAAACAAGAGAAGATAAACAGCAAAAAAAAAAGAGAATAGGTAGGCTTAAAAGAACCAGGCTTAAAAAGGGGTAGTCTTGAGAAAAATCAAAGAAAACTACCATTAAAATATATCTACCCAATATTTAAAGCTTTATTTAAAGCTTGAATGAAACTTGCTAGTTTATGTTATTAAAAAAAAAACCACTACGAGAACTAATCGACAAGCTGGAATCTGTACAAACATATACATATAGCTAGTCAATTGCCCATCAATCAATCATAAGTATGACTGAATAAAAACAACAAATTTAATTCGCAAAATACACGTGCCAATAAATGTTTTCCTTCACGGAGAACGTGTGAGCGAACATCAGAAACTGACGCATCAGAACTATAAAAAGTAACTTAAGCAGAGTAACTTTATGCGCAAAAAATAAATTTAAGAAATCTACCAAAATATTTATAGAGCTATAGAGAACTTATAGTTACAGAGCGGAAATTGAATACCAATTGAATCTTGAATGCATTAAATGCCATGCTAATTGAATCTTTAATGCCATTTCCACACACTTTAGTTCGAGTCATAGCCAAATAGTTATGCTAATTAACCCAACAAACCATTGCTAATATCATTATGTTCTGAACTAAAACAAAAGATATCGCATCAATGGATAAACATAAAGATAAACAAACTACCGTTCCCGCTCCGTCACTTGCCCAAACCATAATTCAACAGTCAAAACAAATGCATTGATAACGCCGGTCATACTTACTAGCAGTTAGCTAGTACTAGTAGTAGTAGTTAGTAGCTTCAGATACAGTTCTCAGTATTCCCGCGATAATGCTGAGTAGGCGTGGCACGAAATAAATTCCTTAGCCAGCATGACACTCGCAGTTTGTTCGGGCACGTACACGATCTTTGATTCGGTTCGGTTCGGTTCGGATCGGATCCGACGCCTACACGATCTTCCCATTCAGATCGGCCACAAAAAAACTTTAGCAGTAAGCATGAGTCAGCAGTTTTAAGCATACATATAAAACCCATAGGATCAGTTTCAAGTCTTATCAGTAGCAAAATTTTGTGGTCACATTTAGAGTTAAATTAGGCATTACTTTAGCCAAGCAAAAAGTTTATTCACCTAAAGAGAACGCCCATATAGCACTTAAAGTGGAAAAGATAAACCCCATTTCTGGCGACCGACCTCCTATTAGCCTATTTAATTTCAATGTCAAGTGCAGTGCTAATTAATGTTCAGAGCTAAAAAATGACCTCAAATGATGTCAAAATGATTAATATATCATTAGCAGGGAACTTTCCATATGATTGCCGTATCATTTAAGTATCATAATCAAGTATAATTATTTTTCTTGTTTTAAAGGGGATATAGCGGAAACTGGCCCAGAAATGTCTTAATTAATTTATATATTGATATATGTACATATATGTAAAAGCAAATTATGATATGATATCGCAGCCGTTCAAAGGCATATAACAGCGAAATCAACTGTAGAACCGCTACGAAATGTGTACCAAGCTGTCCCAGAAATAAGTCACACTCCATATCTATACCTTATCGGCATCAACAGACGATCCAGTACTTTATCTTTCCGTCGTTTACACTCCTATCTGAGATAACTAATCTACAGACTTGAAAGACTTGTACATCCCTATCACTTTTTTTTTTTTTTGCTACCCTCTCTATCGAGAGCAAACTGTATGACAGATCCCTGGAGGTAGGTTCATCTTATCTACAGCTGTTTTTTTCCTCAATGGCCAACAGCTGACAAGATTGAATTGATTACGCCTCTAGGGTTACGTAATTGCCGCTTCAATCAATGCGGAATTGATGCGTAAAACCTCGTGTAATGTCAAAATGGGCACAAAAACAATATCAACAGCGTAATAACAAAATTATTAGAGAGAATTACACGCGATATTTCGAAGCGCCATGCAGTGCACCAGAGCGAGAGGGTGAGGGACAGAGAGCGGCGTGTAAGCCTGGCTGGACAGCGCGCGTCAGAGCGAGAACGAACTAGTAACAGATTTTGGGCAACGCAACAGATGTCCGATAGAGGGAGAGAGAGCGATTGAAGCAACAGGTAGTGAACTTTAAACTCTCTTTCTCTCCCACTGCTCTGGCTCTGTGTGTGCGCCTGTGTGTGTGTGCGTTGTAACCTTGACCATCAATGCGTCGGCGCTCATGGCGTGTATAAAATATCAATTAATTTATGGATTTGGGCTGCGCGTGGCCTGGCATTGGCCCCAAAAGTTCCACTGTTCGGGTGGGGCAATGGAGGGAAAACTCTTACTCTTACCGTGCAACGGATGTGAGGTTGTAACGATTATACACACGATCGGATTTACAGATGCGCCTCTTCCTGTTTTCCTGTTTCTCCACTTCTCTCTTTGGTTTATTTTCTGTACACGTTTTCTCGCTTGCTGTTTTACATGCACCGCGAAGTGGACGACGACAACGACTGCGCGGCCAGCGCTTAATTTGTTTTATTTAGTTAAAGTGGAAGCCACGGCGACGACGGGGACAGCGACAGCGGCAGCGACGTTAGCTGCGCGCACATATGTATTTCTATATATGTATTAGAGGTGTCAAACCATCGAGGGCACTATCGATAGTATCGATATTTTACTGCTAGTCTCTACTATCGACGGTTTTGCGACTATCATGATAGTATCGAGCTACAGTCGTTGCGCTTTTGATATGTTTGGATTGGCTGCTATAAAATACGAAGACAAATTTGTAAAAAATTCGACAGGTGGCATCTAATTTTTACAATGGACAAGTTCCTAAAAGGTTTCAATGGTTTTTTAATAATTATTTCAGCCCGATACTATCACGATAGTATCGATTGTTTTTTCAAAACATTCGACGTTGATATTCCTCGATATTGATATTCCGTTTAATATTCCGCGTTACCAGCTAGCTGGGATTCCTAAACAAATAATTTTATCCGATAGATACATACATTTTTTAAGAGATTGGCAAGTTTTCAGAAGTCCTTTTTATTGGATTATTTACATATTAAGGTTCAAACAAAAACAACATAAAACGAATTTGTCGTCGTTTTGTGGCGTTGCCAGACTCGTGCAATTCGTAGTTGCTGCGAGCTGCCATATCGTGATATTTTGTGATATGAAATTCGTCAATTTTGATATTCAGTTTAATATTACTAGATAGTTGGCCCTCTCAGCCCTAAACAAATAACTTGATCCGATAGATACATACATTTTCTACGAGATTATTTAACCTAAAGTACCTTCTTTTATTGCGTTCTATATCAAATTAGTTTAATCAAAAAAAGGCAACACAATTGTCCGCTAAATAAAGTCTTTACATGGTAACTACATGATAACCATATATCTACATCGGTGTGTTAGAACAACGAGGTGAGTCTATAACCAACAGCTTGTGCAGGGTGTGTGACCTAAAGAGGGTAACACTTATCATTCATTCATTTTCCGCCAAAACAAAACAAATAATTTTTTAATCCCGACAATTTCTCGATTTGGCTGCTTGTGTGTTTGATATTCCATTTAATTATATGTACACTGTTGCATTCCGTTCATTAAGATTCATTTGTTTGCAGGAAAATGGAGGAAATATGCAGAGTTTGCATGGAAACTTCTGGAGCATTCACAACAAACATTTTCGACGAGACACAAAAATGGGACACTCGCATTGCTGACATGATATCTGAGTTTACGGGGTACGTGGTCAGGCGAGGAGACTCGCTATCTGAAAAAATATGTCCGACGTGCCTGGAGGAGGCAGTGAGTGCCTTCAATCTGAAGAAAACCTGTGAGCAGAGCCATACACTGTTTTTCACACCGATTGAGGAGGATGGAGAAGCAGAAGGCGAGGACTGGCAACAGTCGGATAGTCAGAGCCAATTTGACACCGATCCAGATGATTGTGAGCGTCCCTTCGCATGCTCCTACTGTACAAAGTCCTTTGCCAGAAAATCGTCGCTCAGTGAACACATACGCTGTCACACTGGAGAGCGACCGTACAAGTGTCCTCAGTGTCCGAAGTCTTTCGCCCAATCCAGCAGTCTACGGTATCACATGTGTACCCACGCCGATGATCGACCTTATCAATGCGCTCACTGTCCAAAGTCATTTAAGCTGAAATGCCAGCTCTTAAAGCACAGCCGTACTCACACTGGCGAGCGACCGTTTCAGTGCTCCCACTGCTTCAAGTCATTTAAGGATCGCGCCCATCTGATCACACACACACGCTCCCACACAGGGGAAAGACCCTTCAAGTGCACTGTCTGCCCAAAAGGCTTCACACAAGTAACCAATCTTACGCTACACATGCGTACGCACACGGATGAGCGGCCCTACCAATGCCCCGAGTGTACAAAATCCTTTAAACAAAAAGGCCAGCTCGACGAACACCTCCGTTCGCACACTCGTGAGCAGCCATTCAAGTGTACGCAGTGCGGAAAGGCTTTTCGAAGAAATGAGAGTCTTCAAGAACATGCCCGTGCACACACGGGGCCATATCAATGTTCCCAATGCCCGATGGCCTTTGGAGCGCAATCGCCTCTGCAGGCTCACCTGTTTACGCACATGGGCGAAGGACCCTACCCATGCCCCAAATGCTCAAAGTCGTTTCCTACAACATTCAAACTAGGAAGACACATCCGTAGGCACATCCGATCCGAAGGATCGACCGTTGCCATCTGATCAGTCACATGATTATTCACAAGACCGAACCAAATGAAGACCGAAAGGAAGTGCACGAATCTGGGGAGCAAACATATCAGAATACTTTTATAAATTATGTATGTTAATGATTAATGTTAATCTGGAGTTCTTAAGTTCTACAACGATTTGCCGGTAATAAATGCAACCACAGCGACACACATATTTTTGTTTTTTAATGAATACATACCAACCATGATCAATATAAATACCCTGTAGAACCAAAGGGGTCAATTGACCTCTCCACGCCTATTAAACTACTCGACAAAACTAGCTCTTTTTCCGCTTCGAACGAAACCGACTTTTTCTCATGGACTGGGAGCTTTACTTTTTTTTTGAAGATTTATGGTTTTTTTCTATGGCAAACATTTTTTTTAAGAATCTTACCTTTGGTTGTAATGAATAAATGCCGTCTGGGAAATATTCAGCTTTCATATGCAAAATTTATCATTTTTGTGCGGGATTTTTTTTTAAAGGAAAAGTCGAACAAAATTATATCATGTGTCCTTATATTTTTGGCGTAAAGATGCATTAATTAGGCGTCGTTTAATGTATTGCGAATTAAAATGTATTGAGAAACGGCTGAGCCAAAATTGGTTAACCAACCCTCTGAAAATCCGTTTGGAAATATGGTTTTATTGTCCAATAAATTAATGTCTACGTGATAACTACACGGTAACCACATATCTACATCGGTGTGTTAGAAGAACGAGGTGAGTCCATACCAAACAGCTTGTGCAGGGTGTGTGACCTGGAGAGGGTAACACTTATCATTCATTCATTTTCGCCAAAAAAAACAAAACAAATAATTTTTTAATCCCGACAATTTCACGATTTGGCTGCTTGTGTGTTTGCTATTCCATTTAATTATATGTACACTGTTGCATTCCGTTTGTTAAGATTCATTTGCTTGCAGGAAAATGGAGGAAATATGCAGAGTTTGCATGGAAACGTCTGGAGCATTCACAACAAACATTTTCGACGAGACACAAAAATGGGACACTCGCATTGCTGACATGATATCTGAGTTTACGGGGTACGTGGTCAGGCGAGGAGACTCGCTATCTGAAAAAATATGTCCGACGTGCCTGGAGGAGGCAGTGAGTGCCTTCAATCTGAAGAAAACCTGTGAGCAGAGCCATACACTGTTTTTCACACCGATTGAGGAGGATGGAGAAGCAGAAGGCGAGGAATGTCAACATTCTGATAATCAGAGCCAATTTGACACCGATAAAGAGGAGCATCCAGATGATTGTGAGCGTCCCTTCAAATGCTCCTTCTGTACAAAATCCTTTGCAAGAAAATCGGCGCTCAGGGGACACAGCCGTACTCACACGGGGGAGCTACCATTTCAGTGCTCCTACTGCTCCAAGTCATTTAAGGATCGCGCCCATCTGATCACACACACACGCTCCCACACAGGGGAAAGACCCTTCCAGTGCACTGTCTGCCCAAAAGGCTTCACACAAAGACCCAATCTCAGAATGCACATGCGCACGCACCTGGGGCAACGGCCCTTCCAATGCACCGAGTGTACAAAATCGTTTCTACAAAAATCCCATCTTATGGAACACATCCGTAAGCACAATGGCGAGCGACCATACAAGTGTACCCAGTGCGAAAAGTCTTTTCGGAGTAATGCCATTCTTCGCAAACATGCTCGTACACACACGGGGCCGCATAAATGTTCCCAATGCCCGAGGACCTTTAAAAAGCAATCGACTCTGCAGACTCACCTGTTAACGCACTTGGGCGAAGGACCCTACCCATGCCCCAAATGCCCAAAGACGTTTCCTACAACATTGAAACTGGGAAAACACATCCATACGCACTCAGAGGATCGACGCTTCCAGTGCTCCCACTGCTCGATTGCATTTAAGCAAAGTTCCCATCTGACCAGTCACATGCGAACTCACACTGAAAAAGAAAAGACCAAACCAATTAAACACCGAAAGGAAGAGAAGAACGAAACTGAGAAGCGACCCTTCAAATGCCCTTACTGCTCGAAGTCATTTAAGGGCGAGTCGTATCTGCAAAAACACATCCGTTGTCACACGGGAGATCGACCGTTTAAGTGTTCCCACTGCTTGATGTCGTTCAAGCAATCCACACATCTAAAAATCCACACACGTATCCACACAGGGGAAAGACCCCACCAATGCGGCCAGTGCCCAAAAGCCTTCCGAGAAGAATCCAATCTTAAGAAACACATGCGTATGCACACAGGTGAACGACCGCACGAATGCACCGAATGCCCAATGACTTTTATAAGAAAAGCCTGTCTGGAAAGGCACATCCAACGTACGCACTTGGAGGAATACAAAGCGGCTCAAGCTGGGGACAACGACTGATATTATTTAATACTATCTGCATGAACACGTAAGTATACATTACACTGCACATATACTTATATTAAATCATAATTTATTTCTTGCTATAGGCCGAGAATAAACGAGGCAGGACGGAGGAGGCAGGATATACGCTGGAGAATTTATTGGACGTAGCTCTATGATTATATTTAGAATTAATTCTGGAAAAATGTTAATTTGAACCATTAAAATATGAACTATTCTCTTGAATTATCAATATAAACCGCCGTTAAGTTACATTTATCGCACAAAACTACCGATATTTGCTTGTAACTTAATCTAAGCAAAAAATTTACTTCATCGGAGTACTGGGCCTTAAGAGGGGGGATTTTTAAGGATTAACTCAAGTATTGTTAGTGCTCAAGTTTATTCACTTCGACTGAGTACGTATATTTACGGTATATATTGAAAATGAGAATACTGAGAGTATATTTCGGTATATTTCTGATGCTCACACGGTATATTTGATCGAAAATCCGCGGTCACACTGACCACCTACTCGTTTTTAGTTTTTGTTAACAACTTTTATTTATTTTATTTAGCACGGGCTCCGGGGCTGGTTTTGGCCAATTATTTAACGGACGTGACGCGTGTGCCATTGTGCACCAGCCGCAGTGCCTTAGCAGCTGTTCGCGGACAGCCTGCAGAACGAACGAAAACGTTCCAATTGTGTAATTTACATGCAAATTCCTGTGAAGCGCTGAAAGAAAGACTATACTATCCTCCCCCGTGTAGACCAGGTCTTCGTTCCCTCCCCCCCTCCGCCAACGCCACCGCCCCTGAAGCAAGAGAGCCCCAAGCGAGGCTACGAGCACGGCACGGAAATGCCATTTAAATTCTTGAAAAAGTGTCGCCAATATAATGTGACGTCTAAAAGTTTATTTGTTATATCAGTGCATCATTTGTTGGGTGAGTAAACGCAAAGCCCTTACAGAACCAGGAAGGGGGCGTAGCACCCACCTATCAGCTACATATATAATATCTATGAGTCGTCGTCGTTGTTGTCGTTGTCGTCTATCCATAAAACAGCTGCCATTACACTTGTTGATTTATTTAATTGCAAATCTGCACATAATTTGTACATTTTTGTACTTTTATGGGCACAGCCACATGATAAGCATTTGGTTTATCATGGCCTGATGCGAGTGTTACCAGTTTTTCGTTTTTTGTTTGTTTGTCTGTCTTGTTGCAATTGGCCAACATTTGAGGCCTTAAAAAATACGGCAACAACAACAGGAAAACCTGTTGCAGCTGTTATCCTGCCTTAACAGGGGCACAGTCTAACAGCGGGATAACAGAGGATAACTTTTAAGAGTGCTCTCTGTTAGGGGACCATTACCATTGGGAAACCATTAAGAAACATAAAAAACCTCGACAATTTCCGTTTTTTAAAACAAATAAGGTCTCCCAAGAGATTAGAAAGAAGACAGTAAGACTTACACTTTGGGGTGTCGACTGGTTGGATACCCTTTGTTATCACAAGAGTCATAAAATTGTGATAAAATCTTTTGATTTGCATATATGTATTTGGATCTGTGTATATCTGGATATATTTGGCAAAGAGTAGGCTATTTTCCCAAAGAAAATCTCTGGGAGAAAAATCTTCCACCACCGCTTGACAAAACCTCTGCCCGAGCCCATCATACTCTCTCTGTAAAGGGCATTTAAAATGTATTTACATATTTGCGCGTGCTGTGGGCCAGGCCCAGAGAGCCAAACATTTTTGTATATTTTTTTCTGAGCACGTTTTTAATCGCGCAACCTCTCTCTCCCCCTCCCTCTCTCACTGTTTTTTTAGACACCTCCAGCACCGTCGATTGCACCATCAGTTCGGAGAGCAAGGGCCAGGAGTGCTTGGACAATGTCTGCCAGCGTTTGCTCATCCAGCAGCCAGAGTTCTTTGGACTGCGTTACCTTGTCCGTGGCAAGGAGGATGAGTACAAATGGATCGATCTGGAGCGATCGCTGAGCCGGCAGCTGGAAAAGTATGCGGCGGGGCCAAAGATCTATCTGCGTGTGCGGCACTATGTGACGACGGGTGTGCGTCACCTGAGCGACGAGGCCACCAGATTCTACTACTTTCTGCAGCTAAAGAGCGACATTTATGAGGGGAAGATCGCCTGCGATATTCGTACCGCGATCCTGTTGGCTCTGTACTGCCGCCAGGCGGAATACGACAGCTACCAGGGGGACAAGCAGAGCAAGGATTACCTAAAGAAGTCGCTGGTGCTGCCGCGCAATATGCAAGGACTGGCCAACGATGACAGCATGCTGGAGGGCCTCGTTATGGAGGTGCTGCAGCAGCAGGCCACCCTCGCGCATCTCACCCAGAGCCAGGCGGAGGAGATGTACATTCAGTGCTGCCAGCAGCTAGATGGCTATGGGGAGGAACGCTTCTCCGCCAAGGATACGCTCGGGAACGATCTGCTGCTGGGTCTGGCCATCAACGGGATGGTGGTGAATGCCGACAACGGACGGCAGTACTTTCCCTGGAAGGACTTTCACACGGTGACCATCGACAAGCGCACCATCAAGATCGAACAGAACAAGCTCGATGGCGATGGCAGCATTGTGGGCAGCTTCATCTTCGGGGAGGCGGACACCGCACGCTACTTCTGGAAGCTGTGCATCAGCCAGCATAAGTTCTTCAAGCGCTACATCGACACGGCCACGCCCTCGAGCATGGGCAGTGCCGCGGACGTAGAGAGCAGCGGCCACATTGGAGGCGACAGCGTGGGCTACGTGGATTATGACTATGGAGAGGCGGCAGCCGTCGAACAACTCCAGCAGCAGCAGCAGCAACACCAACAGATGCAACAGCAGCAGCAGCAGCAGCAGCTACAACAGCAGCAGCAACAGATGCAACAGCAACACCAACTGCAGCAGCAGCAGCAGCAGCAACAGCAACATCAGATGCTATCCTCCAATATGTCCCTCACGACCAGCGCCAATCACAGCCACAGCCAGCTCTTGGGGCAGAGCAGCTCCTGCCTCGATTTGAGCAACAATAATCTGCACAGCAGCAATGGAATGCTCCACCACAACAACAACAACGAGGAAAGGGAGCGCCTCAAAGCCATGCTACCCACTTATAGACCCGCACCGGACTACGAGACAGCCGTCCAGCTGAAATATCGCACTCCCTCCGCCGAGCTGCATAACGTGACGCTGGCATTGGCCGCCCCGGGAACTGCCTACTATGCGGGCTCCCAGCCGGATGTCCACAATCCGGCCGGATACAATGAGAACGTAGTCTTTGGCCACCTGACGGCGCATCGGTATCCGGATGTGGCCCAGCCAGCCGCTGCCCTGCATCATCACATCAATCTCTACCAGACCCAGCAGCAGCAGCAGCAGCAACAACAGCAGCAGCAGCAGCAGCAACAGCAACAGCCAGCTGTGGGCACGGCCCAAGCGTATCTGGAGCTATCGCAGCGGATGCACATGATGCGGCACAAGGCACCGCCGCCATATCCCGTCAATCGATTGAGCTCCTCATCGACGCCCGATCTGGCTGTGGCCACGCCCCGACCGCTGCAGGGATACCGCAACTATGTGAGCGGTTCATCGCCAGATCTAGTCTCCAATCGCACGCTCCTCAATGGCGGACAGTTTGTGGCATTGGCAGCCGGTGGACATGGCGGCAATATGCCCACATCCTCGGGTGCCACCATGCTGCATCACTATATAGGACACATGGGACACTCGCAGCCGTATTTGCCGCCGCACGGCACCTTCGAGAACCTCAATATGATCGAGGAGCAGCCGTCCATTATGTCGCAGCTGCGGCAATCGGCCATGAGTCAGGCGGCGGCACAAGCAGCCACACAGAGGTACGTTTTACAGAAGGCAAAACAAAAAGGTATACCAGGCTGGACAAACCAATTATTAAGCAAAACTCACGATATCAAAACGTTTTCTATGGAAATGCTGGCTTAAGGTAGCTGAAACTTGAGATGTCTGACAGATTGTGGGGGTCTTTATGGCTTATTTTTGGGGGGGAAGTCTGTGCTGTACAGCTGTGATAACAATTTCCCCATAAAAAGAAAGGCAAACTTTGGATATCCAACAGATTTCTAGATCTTTAGATCATATGTATATATGCCAGGCTGGCTTCGCTTTACTAATGTAACTCCGTTTCCCCTTTGCAGCTCACCCACACTGCCGCCGAGTGGCTATCGCAGCTCTGCACCACCGCCAGCCAGCAGTCCACAGCCACCGACGGTGGTGGTGCCACCACAGAAATCCACCACGCCCACGCCCTTACAGCGGAGCGTAATTAACGGTTCGATTGAGCCAATCTACGAGAATGTGCCACTGCCACTGCCACAGAGGGCCTCGGGTGGCAGCAGTGGAGCCGCAGCTGCCCACGCCGAGGCAATGCGTCAGCGCGCCTCCTCCATACAGTCGGCGCCGCCAGGGGTGGTGCCCGTGCCGGCAGTGCGTCATGCCAGCACCAATAACGTGGTCACCGTGACGGTGAATGCCCAGCCGCCGAATGATGAGCTTACGCGCAATATACAGAAGTTTGCAGCAGATCGGGCGGTGAGCAGCGAGATGCAGTTCCTGGAGCCACAGGCACCGCAGAGGGCGGCACGGGCGGCCAGTGCTGCGCCGGCTATAGGGGCAACAGCGCCACCGCGTCAGCATAGGTCCACGGCGAGCCTCAATAAATCCACGACAGTGGATGTGATTTCACCCGCAGGCGATTCGCTTCATCAACAATTTAGTGCCATGAATCTGTCAGCTAATACGTCAGCATCCACCTCATCCATGTTCAATTCGACGCTGGACACCACCTCCTCGTCGGCGGCCAGCAAAGATGGCAAGCGGAAGAAGCGCTGGAATTTTCTGGCGCGCAGCAAAACCCCCGACAAGCAGAAGGCGGCCACGCTGGGCAGAGAGAAGGCCACCTCATCCAATCAGCATGCTAAGTTGGCGGCAAAAATGAAGCTGGCCCAAGACGATCTCAACCTGCCCAATCGTTGGTCAACGGGAGTGAGCAAACCGCAGCCCATATCGGGCCAATATTCCAAGGATAAACTGGTAAAATTACATTAAATAAATACTGGGGATAGTTTCTAATTATATATTTATATTTCAGTGCCAGATTCTCAATGAGAAACTACAGGATACGCAGCTGTTTATGGAGTTTGAACGCATACCGAAGCGACGTGAGCATGCGCTGTACGATTGCGCCTTGCTGGAGGAGAACGAACCGAAGAATCATGATCCCAATTTTCTGCCCTACGACGATAATCGTGTGAGACTGACGCCCTCAATGGACAATCGCCATGGCTATGTGAATGCCTCGTATATATCGGTATAGCTTTACGTTAATTTTTATTAGAGCATTCATATTGATAGTTTGCTTCGTTTTGTTAGGCCACTGTGGGCACTAAGCAGCGCTTTTATATTGTGGCACAATCCCCGCAAGAGTCACAAACGATGCGCATCTTCTGGCAGTGTGTGTGGGAGGCCGATGTCTATTTGGTGGTGCAGCTAACCGAGGATATGAGCTACATTCCACAGAGCAGTCAGCAGCGTTTGGAGTTTGGACAGGTTCGACTCGACGGGCATTTCGCTCAGCCTCAAGCCTCATCTAATGTAATTCGCTTTGCAGTTTCAAGTATATCAGGAGTTCTCACAGACCACCGATCGTTGCACCACCAGCAAACTGCGTCTGTATCATGCACCCTCGCGTCGCTATCGTTCTGTGTGGCATTTGCAGTACGCCGACTGGGCGGAACAGAATTGTCCGCGTGATGTCAATCATTTTCTTGATTTTCTCGAGGAGCTCAACTCTGTGAGATTGGCCTCGACACATGAGGTGCCGCCAGGACACAATACGAATCCGCCGGTGCTCATCCACTGCCTGGAGGGTGGTGGGAGGTCTGGTGTAACCCTAACAGCGGATCTGTTGCTTTATACCTTAGATCACAATGAGGTAAGGCAGAAAACTTACCCGTGATTGGGATATTCATTATATTTCTTTGATATCTATAGGACTTGGACATACCACGTGTCATTGGACAGCTGCGTCATCAGCGGGACAGCATTATACCATCCCTGGCGCAATATAAATTCATATACAATCTGCTCATCACGTATCTGAAGCGCACGAGATTGATTTAGTAGAGAAACAGGGACAGGAGGGCAGTGGCCAGAGGGCAGAGGGCAGAGGGCTTCCCCAGAAAGTATTTTTCATTCTTTAAGATTTACACATACGACAAAAGCGAACAATTTTACTTAAGACTTTGTCCATATACAGCACGTATACAGTGCGTGCCATGGCTATCGCGGGCAGCTATTTTTAACAGTTTTAAGTTTGTTAGTTGTGCAGAATTTTTGTTACCAAAACTAGAAACACAATTAAATTTTGTTAAATATACGACTAACGCGTAGTAGTGCCTAGGTTTAAAGCCAAATTATTTATACATATAGTACATATATTTAAAACGAAAATTTGCAACAACAAAAGCAAAAAATCAAAAACCAATTAACGAATTGATATATCCCACAGAGAGCAATAAAAATTATATATACATTTTATACATGGTTTATATTTCATTTATTTATCGACTGATGTTCCAATACACATATCTGTATACATATAGAATTTTTCAATGAATTACAAAATACAATTCAAATACTGTTTCGTGTAAATATTAATTGTTTTTTGTTTTGTTTTTTAACTCTGCAAAAAGTTATGTTTTTTTATTTTTATTGATTGAAGACGGACGGGGAAACATATTAGTTAGGACTTGCCATACGGATCGGGCAGAATTGTGCTGGAAATTTGTGAGGGAAAAGGTTTTAGACAGTTCTGAAATTGTGGACATTTTTTTGTTGTCCTTGAAATATTGCTATATAGAATGGATATAATAATCCTCAAAATAGTTAGATATTTTTGGCACTTCTTTCAAATCTAAATATTCATGCAGAAATTAGCCCGTTTAAAATTCTTTACAAAAACGCATATTAAATTTTAAATTAATTATCTTTTACAACCCATGATATTCATTACAAAAAACAACCTTTGAAAATTTGGTTAAACTGGGAATCAATAATAGGATACACATACCCTCAAATTTTAATGGAATATCATTCTTCGTTCTACGCCCCATTGCAAAAAAAAAACCCTTCTAAAAAGTTTTGTACTTTCATTACTGCCTCGTTCTGGGTATATTTTGGGTTATAAATTTAAGCAAAATGCACAATTTGTTTTTATTTTTTGTGTGTTGTTTTTTTATTACAATATTCGAGTTTTGTTTGTTAACCTTTTTGTGAGGTTCTCAAACAAGCCAAATGGAGATTGATTTTAATACCCGATACTCAACGAATACAAGGGTATATTCAATTTTAGACTTAATTCAAGATACAAGAGCACGATGCATGCATTTATTATATTTCTGTCTTTAGCTAAATATTTACTTTGTTTATACGAACCATTTTGGGACATCAACAATGGGGCAACAAAGCAAACAGGTCCAACAGACCGAGGGGCGTTGCTGCATCACGCAATTTCGGAAGAAAGGTTTAGGATGGGAAGGAAGGAAGTTTAAGAAAAGATTTTGAAATGGAACCCTTGTTAAGCCGAATAGCCAGAAAGCTTTTACAAAATGTGCATCGTATAAACAAAGTAAATATTTCTTAAAAGTATTTCTGGTTCGATTTTCTTTCGTGTTGTGTTAGCAAAACAAAAATTGATCTTGCATTGGAATTCAGGCTAGTTTTTTGTTCAGGTTTTGTGTTTGTGTTTTTGTATACATAAATATAGTATAGAGATTTCTTGTATATAGGTTTTGTATATATATTTTATATATTCTATGTATATAACGGCAATCATGCACACACCAAAAATATATATAGTATATACATATATATTGTAGATTTATATTGGAGTCAAAAAATGATTCGGTTACATTCGGTTATGTTGCTTTCAAGTCTCAGGGGTTTTTGTTTTTGTTTTGTTGTCTTTTATATAAACTTTTATAGCTGGTTGGTATTTTTTTGTTGAGTGTAATTGTACTTTGATGTTATCATTTCTCGTGTGTGTTGGGCTAGAGTCTAGGTCGGTATTGCATTTTGTCTTTCATTAAATTTCATTTTGTATCCTAACCTTCGCTAAAACAAATACACATAAATACAACGAATGATTGGAAAAAATATTCGAAATCGGTTTTCTCTCTCTCTTTGTCTCTCACTTTTGGGCTTACAAACTAAATATTTGGAATTGGAGCGAATGTTTTTTTTTGTTTTGTTTTTGTTTTCAGCGTGTGTATATAGTATATCGTATATATAAGTAGTATATGTATATAGTATAACTAACTTGTACATAAGCATAAAAAAGAAGTATACATTAATGGAATTCACAAGAGAGCCTGTGCTGTGTGTGTGTGTGTGGGGTTTGGAGTAAATGCTCTCTAGTCCGTCCTTATTTTCAGTGTGCATCGTCTGGGAATAATTCTGTTCTGTTCTGTCTGTAAATGCCGACGTGTAGTAAGTCTTCAAAAAGAGTTTAGTTTTGGATTTCTGCTTGCTGTGGGTGGGGGTCTGCCTGCAGACGTCGTTTTCTTCTACAAGAAAAGGCAACTACTAAGCGCTCGTAGGCGGTGAATGTTTTTTGTTTTGTTTTTTCTGTCTGTTTTTGGGGATGTGGGGGTGGGGGGCTGGGACTTTGTGTACAAAGAATTTAGCTAAATTAAATTATAAATCGTAAGCCACTAAGAGCAACTAAAAATTAAACTGTAAGACACTTAAGCTACATTCTAAATTATATACGCGACACAATTGGGTTCCAGTTACTCGTCTCTCTCTCTCACTTTTGGGCTGCTTCTCCTTCTGCTCCTTCTGCGATGAAGGGTATTAATGTTGGTGGAGGCGGGGGGAGGGGCATCTCTGCTTGTCTTTCATACTTGGGTTTTTTTTGCTGGCGAAATGGAAACCACACAACCATTAACAAATTTTGGCAACTCTACTATATGCTGCAAGAAAAATAAATAGATTTGATTTAGTTTTGGCTCTGGGGATATATGTATATATCGATGGTGCAGTGCGTTTTGGAATGAAATATTAGAGCACGTTTTAGTTACCACACAGCGCTCGACTCGAGTTGCACAAGTGAAGGCTTTAAAAGAGAACGCCCGAGAATATTATAAATTTAAATTCAAAATTCGCTAATAAGTGGATTTGGTTTTTGTTTGACTGCTCCCAAATACATCCGCTATATTAGAGAATTAAGAGAACTTTCCTGAGAAAATTTTCAATTGAAAACCAATCTAAATATTTTCACTTCCAAAACACACACTGTAAAATAAATATTTTAAATACTCACAACTAATTAAATTAACATTTTAGTAGTTAAAACAGCACAATTTGATTTGATTTCATTATTGATTCATGGGTGGCATGGGGCATATGGTACACTTGGTGCTATCCATAAAATTTGGCGGGCCACCTGCGAAAAAGAACGAACACAAATTAATTATTTTATATCGAAATGGCGTTCCTATAAACTCAATAAAACATATTCGTTTTTATTATGGTTAAACTCATCTATTTTCTAAACACAGAAAAGACCTGAAAGACTCGAGACTCAACTCCTCTGCTTTGCATTGGTTCTGTGGTTGTTCTTGGTGGTTTATTTTTTGTGTGAGTGGTTGCTGCTGCCCTGCGGATCTGCGGATCTGCTGATCTGTTGATCTCTGCTTACCATGCATGTGGTTGAGGTGCCTACTGGCCGCCGCATTGCTATGATGATGATTGTATAGACTGGCCAGCGGTGGCACATTGTACGGCGGTGGTGGCGGCGGTGGCATGGCCAGAGATTGTTGCTGTTGGAGCTGTTGCTGCTGCTGCTGCTGTTGTTGACTCCGCATGTGCATGTAGGCCGCAGCGGTTGGTGGTGCAGAAAGCTGTATGGTGGGTGTGGCGCCTGCAATTGCTGCCTGAGACGTTGTTTGTTGTGTTGGTTGTGGTGGTGGTGGTGTGGGCGTGCTGGGTGGTGTGTGGTTTGTGCTCTGGCAGGGACTGTTCAGATTGCGGGTGACCGCATTATTCGATATCTGCTGTAAGAGACGGCAATCGGCTGCCGTGTAAACCGGAGGCGATGGCTCGTGTGTGTTGTGTTGTTGTTGTTGTTGTTGGTATTGTAAGTGGTGCTGTTGTTGGTGGTGGTGCACCTGCTGCTGCTGCTGTTGCTGCTGATGCACATAGCCGCTGTCACATGACGATATGGAACCTGTTGGATGTGTGTGAAAGTAGGCGTAAAGAAAATGTTTTGGTCTACCATTGAAAGGGATATCCATTCAAGGTGTGAGTGTGTGTGTGTGTGTCTATACGTGTGTGTGTGTGTGTGTGTAGTGTAGTGTAAGCCACAACCAAATCCATCATAAATCCAAAACCAACCACCAAAAATATATGTGGGGAAAATCAAATGCAAGCAGGGGGAACCGGAGTCTAAAGCGCAAAATCTAACTCTTTTTTTTGTCCACTAAATGGAAACTAAATTTAAGCTACAGTTTATATATAGTATACAAAATAGCTAATGATATGGGAGGGAGATGCGGAATAGATACATATATATATATATATATATATTATACCTATAAGTACCTATATAAAGTGCGTTTGAAACTTTTGATTTTCTTTGGGCAGCAATTTCATTGCTGATTATTGGTATAAATTTATCCTAAGTGAAAGGAAACGCCAGGCATGACACAGAAACCATTCGGTAGTTCACAGTTTCCCGGAATTATGCGATTGCGTGTAACAAATGTCCCATAAATGAAAGGCTACATTCGCTGCGAATAACTCAAACAGAAACCATTCGCCACGAATGCCACCAATAGGATGATTCAATGCAAATCTTTTCCATAAACGATTGGAAACATTCATTTTAAATGGCTCAAATGCTACAAATGTCAGAAAACAGATGAATAAATGCTCGAAAATTGTTTTAAATTTGTTTGTTACATTTTTGGGATATAGGAACTAGAAGAATAGTTACAATCAGCAGATGCAATACGATTTTAAGCAGTAATATTATCTATTTTTTGGGGCTATAATACTATATCAAAGATCATAAATAATCTGCTCATATAATTATGTCCTTAAATTAAAGCACTTTATATGGTATGTACTCATATATATATATATATATCTGTATCTTTCTATCGGTTTTTAGTAGCATCTAAAAGCATGTGTTTTTAGTCCATCAATCAGCTTTTGAGGATCTACGGAGTCTCAGTCTCAACTCACCGGAAGTCACGGATTTGCGCAAGGGTAAATCACGAAAGGTAGTCACACTACTGCTCTCCAGCGATAGATCCACCGATGGCAGCGGCGGCGGCGGTGCCGGTGTGTCCGAGTGCGAACGCTCATGTATGGCCCGAACGGGCATTATGTTACCTGAAAACCATGCAGAAACCATTAGATAAACACTCGATAGATAATCCACCAGGATCCCTAGGATTACAGAAATTTGCATTGTCTGTTTGGTGCCGTACCTGCCGAAGCCAGACGTCGATGCGAACAGGGACTAGGACTGGGTGTGCATTGAGAGGCGGCCACCACGCCAGCAGCTGTGGCTGGCGATGTGCCGCCGCCCGTTACTACGCCCGTACTCCCGGCCACAGGCGTCGCAAAGCCATGCGCCGCATGCAAATGGTGTAGGGGTGGGATGACGCCAGGCAGCGCTGAGTTGTGGCGCGGTATGAAAGGCTGGTGTGGCCGTATCTTGGATGATTCCGAGAGCGAGAGCATCTTCTTGACGGCCTGCGGTGAGGCTGTGCCGAACTTGGGCCCGTTGTTGTGCAGCTGTTGGCGCCGCTGGTTGTCGCTGGTGGAGCTCGTCGAGCTGGTGGTGGAGAGGGTGGGCGAACTGGGATGCCGCTTGCGCAGGGACAGCGATGAGTTGGGCGCCGAACTGGAGCTGGTGTGCGAGTAAATGCTGAGCTGGTCGCCGGCATTCAGACTAGAGCTGCCGGCGCCCATACTCCCAGCGATGCTTACGCCACCAGCGCCGCCACTGGAGCTGCCTCCGCCACCGCTGCGATGCGAAGTGTTGCCATGAGAAATGCTGCCCGAGTAGGTGGAACCATGCGAGGGCTCGCATTCCAGCGAAAACTTGTGCAGCAGATCCTCGTCGCTGAGTATCTTGAGGCTGTTGAGATACGCCTTCACGCGTCGCACCATTTGTGCCTCCTCGAACATCTTCTTGGGATTCGGTGCGGCCGTAGATTTCTTTCGTCGCTTGATTGTCGCCTGTCCCGCATTGGCGGCTATCACCGTGCCAGCGGCCGCATTGCTCTGCGAGGCGGACATCTGATTGAGCGAGAAGAGCGCATTCGAGGGCGACTGCCCCTTGAGCTCCAGAATGGCCAGCAGATCGTAGGGGGAGCTGCACATGTGCGTCAGCAGGCGCACCTCCTTCGACAGCATGCGCAGCTTCTCAAAGTTGATCAAACCATCGACGCGCGTATCGTTGCCCAGGTGTATAAATGTCAGATCCTTCTTCACAATCGGATAGAACGGTATGATGGGATGCTGGGCCAGTAGCTCCGCAGACACAAGCTGTCGATATTTGCTCATATTTCGCGATGGATCCATAAGGTCCTGCAGATCGTTGAACAGCCGCTGATACTTTGAGGGCAGCTTCTCCCACGTGAGTCGCAGCCGCGAGACAGCGCCATGTCCCAGTCCCGAGATGATGGCGAACATGGAGTTGAAGTTTCGGCACTCCTTGCAGTGCCTGGCAATCTTGATGAACTGCTTGACGATCTTCATGCGTCGCACAATGTTGTGCTCCGCGCAGATCTCGCTGACAACCCAAAACATTTCGCGATTCACCAGCTCGGAGAATTTGCTGAGCATTGGCACGCCATACTTGGACTGCAGCTCGAACAGCTCATCCACGTATTCGGTGGACTCGATCTGACGGAAGTTGGCAAAGTCCTGCAGCGTCAGTTGAATGGCCAATTCGTAGGCATTCAATTGAAGGAAATTCACGCCCGATTCGCGCACCAATTCCAGGGCCAATTCATCGGGCACCAGGGGCTCCGTGCTGTCGTTCAGCTTGAGATAGTAGCGGGCCGCAAAGCTAATCCGTTCGGCGAGATTCTGCAGCTGATCGGGCAGGCGTCGCTGCTTAACCATGCCACCCTCGCCCACGCTCACCTCGCACAGCGAGAAATTCGAACTGGGATCGTGTATGCCAAATTCCTGGAGTGTCAGCATCACCACCTCATGGGCGGTGGTCTCCTTGTAGATGAGCACGTACTTGCATGTCTGATCCGACTTGTACACCTTCAGCACATGCTCCGGATAGTCGGGCAGCATATGCGACTGCGTTGAGGTCGTCGTAAGCGTTGAGGCTGCCGAGGGGCGATGGTGCAGATGTGCACCCAGATAGTTAACCTGCAGCATGGCCGCACCATCGCTGCCGCCATCGTAATTGAGGCTCGTCAGATCCGGATTCGATTGCGATTGATACAATCTGCCGCCGCCGCCGCCGATGCTGCTGCCGGCCACACAGCCATTGATCGAGGATTGCGTGGAGCTGCTGCCCGAACTGGCGGACGATATCTTGCCCTTGGGTCCCGTCTGTGCGACTGGCTCGTTCAGCAGCGTGTCCGAGGAGTCGTTCAGGCTGCCCACATGATGCTGCTGCTTGTTCAGTAAATTCATCTTGGCCAGAGCCTTTTGCAGGCGCCGCTTGGGCGCCAGAGTCATGAAGCCTCCCTTTGTGTCCTGCTGATCGGCATTGGAGCCCTTCTTGGCCGAACTATTGTTGACGCTCTGCAGCAGCTGGGCCATGAAATTGGAGGCCATGCTGCCGCCGCCGCCACCACTCACTGGCGGCGTCTGTGGCGGTGCACAATCGGGCTGATCGAGCAGCATATCCACGGAGCTGAGGCGCACCATGTGAGTGCGATTGCTGGCATTCCTTAGCTCTTCCGTGGTGCTGTCGGACCGGCCGTGCAGCTTGGCAATGTCATTGGCGCAGATGCGTCGCGGACTGCGCAGAACTTTGAAGCTGCCGCTGCCCGAGGAGACACCGCCAGCGCCCGAGGCACTGCCGCCGCCATGTTCGAGGGCCTGCATGATCTCCTTGAAGCCCAGCAGATTGCTCTTCACATTGATGCTCAAGTGGGTGGTGCCGGTGAGTATCTCATGCGCTCGCTTGCTGGTCACATGATCGAGGGATTGGCCATTCACTTCGTGGATCTGATCGCCACGCTTGAGGCCCACATCCTGGGCCTTGGAGCCCGGCTCCACGTGCGAGATGTAGATGCCAACGGCGGCATTGCCAGTGGCCGCTGCCACGCCTCGCAGCTCGTAGCCGCCAATGATCTGGAAATTGAGGGCCTCGTCGCGGGAGGAGCGCGTCAAGGTGCAGCTCCGCATGCGGGCCTTTGCGGCACAGGCAATGTGCAGCAGCCGCAGCTGACTGAGTAGCTTCTTGCGCTCCAGCAGCGCCTCAAAGATCTCCAGGAACTCCATCATCTCGTGGTCAGCCTCAAAGTCCGTAAAGTGATTGTTCACCCAAAGGAGTACGACGCGCGTGACACGATCCCGCAGCTCCTGCGTCTTGTGCGAGTCCATTTGCTCGAGGTCGAACCAGTGCAGCAGCTTGGCGGTCACTTCCTGCTGATTGTGGATGAAAATGCGATGCGTGAGCAGGAAATCCTCCACATAGGTGGGATCCGTCATGGAGTTCTCTTCGACAAGCTGTTGCAGCAGGCGCTCGGGTGTGCCCCGAATGACCACATGGCCGCGTTTCATGTTCAGAGAGGCAGCCGCACTTGATACAGATCCGCTGGTTGCCTCTGCACCGCTGCCACCAATGGAACGCAGCTCCGTGACCATCACCACACGTCCCTGATCATCCTCGTGGCGGCGTGTGTTCTCCTCGCCCTGATGCTGGATGCGATAGTAGTCCGTTTGCGTGATGCACACAAACTGGCAATCGTCGCACTTGGTGCGCATCACTCCGCGATGATAGAGCTTATCCATCGTGGGTAGGATGCCAAAAGAGTCGCCCATCTGCAGCTCCTCCCGGTTGCCATTGGCATGCTCGATCTCCACAGCTCCATTGATCAGCACCGACCACGAATCGAGCTCCTCGCCATCCGACATGACCACAGTGCCGGCCTTATCCACCACAGCAAAGACCATCACGGAGCAGAGGGCACGCCGCACGGCCAGGGTGATGTTGGTGAAGGCCTTCAAGCCTTGGGTAAACTCCAACAGAATCTCCACATCATCTTCGCTGCGCTCCGAGGGATCCTTTTCCAAACAATCGCGCACAGCATCCCGCACATTTAGACTCTGAATGAAAGCAGCAAAAAGAGAGTAAATTAGAGAGCGAATCGAATGAAATGAAATTGATATGATTTTCACTTCAATTTATGATATGACCATCACTCACATCCATACTCTCTGCGAGATCCTCCTCGTCCGAGTCCACAACGGACTCCACCAGGCCGGAGAGATCAATCTCCTCGGCCTCCAGCGATGAGGCATAGTTTGAGGCCATCGTATCGCTGCCGCTGTACGCCGAACTAGTGTCACTCGAATGCGATCCTCGGTTGCATTTTTGATGCAACTCCGGACGATTGATGGCTGCCGTGCTACCCACAACCCCCCCTCCCGATGTGGCTGTGGTGCTTGTGGGTGGATACTGCGCAATGGAAGGAGACTTGTAAGTTAATCGATGCACAATAGGGCAGACACAGACACGACCACTCACATGATGTCTGATATGATGATATGGATCCATGAGGCGCGTTGCTGCTGCTGTTAGTGCGGGCCGCAGACGATGCTACGGCATGCCACCACCTCCCGCCGGATATGTGATATGTGGATGTGGACTCTAGACCCAACGTTTAGCTGTAAGTAAAGTTTAAGTTTATAATTAGTATATAATGTGTGGGTGATTATATTATTTATGTTCTTGATGGGAAGAATAGAAGAATTTACTCTGAATTTTATGAGGGAAAAGCTAAAAGATACTTTAGAAGCTATGAGGGTATCGTAAAAGTAGAAATCTAAAAGAGAAGTCCTCTAGTAGAAGAGCATCTACTTCCCTTCGATAGCTAACTCTATGCAAAAATCGATTTTCGATTAATAATCGAATAAATAGGAATATCTTCGATTGTTGGCTTAAAATTAATCTTTAATAATCAATTTAATGATAATTCGCATTCGATAAAAGACTTTTTCGGGTGGTATTTCGGTTCAAAAACAATAACTCATCATAATCGTATGCAACAATCGAAATCAATGGCTGGAAAGCTATAGTCCGACAAGAGTTCAAATGTTGTAACCCTCTTATAATATCTTAAAAGAAAGATCCCCAACAAATATCACAATGTCCAACGTTTTTAGCTGGGAAGCAAAAATAAATAGACCGACAAGAGCCCAATTTTAAACCAATTTTCACATCCATCCAGATCCACAAAAGATATCATAAATCTCTGGCATAGTGTAACAAAGCCCCACAAAAAGAGAGTACGAAATCTTTTAGCTAAAACAAAACATAAAAATTGCTGTGAGATTTTTTTGGTCAATTTTTAGTAACCTTTTTTTTGTGTTTTTACGTTTTTGTTTCAAGTCTTTTGTTGCGGCTTTTTGTGCTACTTTTTTTGGGCTTTGGCTATTTATAGGGTATCAGGTGAGGACAACATAATTTTGCTGAGAAGTTTGGAATCTGAGAGACTTAATGATGCTGACTTGAAAAATGAACTTGTGTATGACAAAATTAATTGTTTCAGGAGATAATTCATTTGGGACTTAAAAATATATAGATGTAGTATGCAGTGTAGCTGTAGTTCCTCTCAATTGGTCCATAATAAGAACAAAACTTGTTGAATTCAATAGATAAGCCAAACTTTTTACAAATGTTGAACAAAATCGAAACATTATATTATTCACTATGTCATATAATTTTAATGGAAACGATCTCCCCGAAAGGGTATTAAATTCATCGAACACCTGAAGCTAATCTCTTTTTCCACCTTTTTTTTGTTGCTTTTGTACCAGTTGTTTTGTTGCTTTTGTTTCCCGTACCGTACACACACTTTCATTTTCTGCAACAACAAAAACTAAAACAAAAAAACACAACACTAAAACAATGTTGCTAATAAATTGAGTCAAGTGAGTGAAAGAGAGGGCAATAAAATTCTCATGCAATTGAGTCTGCGACGTTGACTGCGACAGAGAGCTGCGCTGCTCGTAGGTATTTTTCTATGCCCGTGCGCGTGTGTGTGTGGGAGCTAAAGCAGCTGCACTATGGTCCCAAAGACCACTTTTGTTGGCCAAAATTAAATTGTCAAATATCAATTTTCATTAAAAATGGGCTCAAGTTAAACGACTCACTTTAAAAGACAATAACGATGACATCACTACGAGATGCAGTTAAAATTACAAAAAAGGTAGTAAAAATCCAACGGATTAAGATTCATTAAAAAAATTTGATCAGTTAATCAGTTAAATTTATGAGAAATTTAATATTGTAATTAAATTAACACTTTTTCACTGCGCGTGCTTTTCAGTAACAACAGCAACTTATTTGGGGATCAGAACCATGGTTTTTTTTTAAGATTTGAAGTGTTTGTTTGGCCCATAGTGCGCTGCTGCTACTGTACACGTGAGTGTGTGTGTTAGTGGGCTTGATTGTTTGCGAGCTGTGTGTGGGGGCGAAGAGCGACACAGAAAAATAATAAAACCAAATAAATTGTAGGCGACGACTTCCGTTCGTTCGGCGGGGGATAAGAGCAATAATAAGAGCAGTTGCAAAATCAAAGTGTAATAAATAAAACAAAACACACTTTGCACCACGCACACAAACACAGCTGCACAGGGGCTCACACACAGACACTAAATATGGGCGTGTTTTTGTACAGTTCAATGATTTTGATACGACGGGGGAGAGCGCGACCATCCGTAAGACTTTTGAAGAGACATCTTTTTATACATATTTGTACATATATTGCACTATCCTGCACTGTCTATAATTATACGCACATTTCTCTTTTTTACCTTCCTCCGCTCTTTCTCTTTTGCCCTTTGCGTGTCTTTGGCATAAAGAAATTTCAGGCAGCAGCAGCACCACCACCACCGTGTGTGTGTATTGGTATTGTGCTGCGCATTGTTGGAATTTTTTTTTGTATGATTTCCACTGGAGTTTGTTTACGAAAATGCTTTTGATTTTTGTCGATCTTCCGATTGCAGCTCGTTGGCTGATGGTTTATAATATGATATTGCACTTCAAATGATATTAAATAGGTTTAGAAATTGCCATTTTAATTTAGAAAAAAACTAAAAGTCCGACGCTAGGGTGTCAAACCATCGAGAGCACTATCGGTAGTATCGATGTTTTGCTGCTATCCGCTACTATCGACGGTTTTGCGACTATCATGATAGTATCGAGCTACAGTCGTTGCGCTTTTGATATGTTTGGATTGGCTGCTATAAAATACGAAGACAAATTTGCAAGCAAATCGACAGGTGGCATCTAATTTTTACAATGGACAAATTCCTAAAAGGTTTCAATGGTTTTTTTTAATAATAGATTTTTGAGCCCGAGACTATTACGATAGTATCGATTGTTTTTTTCAAAACATTCAACGTTGATATTCCTCGACTTTGATATTCCATTTAATATTACTAGATAGTTGGCTCTCTCAGCCCTTAACAAATAATTTTATCCAATTCCTCAATAAATTTTGTTCAGGATTGGCTAGTTTTCAAAACTCTTTTGCATTGGATTGTTTACATAACAAGGTTCAAACAAAAACGGCCAAAGCATAAAACGTAAATGTTGACTAAATGTGACGTCATTGTTGCTGGTCAACCAAGTTTCGTCTATGCGTATGGACTTTTGTGTACCTTATTTCTTTTAATTGATGTTTAATGATTTCTTTCAAGCTCCATTGAAACTGGATTGACATTTTTTTTTACCTATTAATGCACATGTTTGTGTTTTATATATACATTTATCCCCGTTCTGATACCTATTATTGGAACCCGTGAGCTGCAAATTGATAAAAAATTTGATAAACAATTGTTTGGTTAAAAAGTGAGCCAAACCAAGCCTATTTAGCGTTCCTGTTTTTTAAAAAATGTATTTATGTGATCAGAGAAAGTTTGGTAGTGAAGTGGGATCGTACATATGTATGTATACATATATTTATCTTGGGAGTCCGCCGGATTCATTTGGCCATATAAATCCACGCCGGACCCGACTTGGGCCTCCACTTAGCCAGACGGCCTAATCATCAATAATAAATATTTTCTTTTTGTACCCAAAAAATACTTTTCGATATAAAATCCGTTACAAAAGTAACGGTTTACCTTTCACCGAAAACATCGATGTCCGAGAACCTTTTAATAAAATACTGGATAATGTTTGGTATTTAAAAAGTCTGCCCACTTATGTAAATACCAAAATACCCGTTATATTTAAATTTCTACCTTATTTCTACATGCAAGACATAACGGTAAATGTCCGATAATGTCCATTCATGTCCTTTTTTGGTGCTGCCAACTTATGTAAACTAGTTAAGTTCAAACACAAAATTGTCTCTTTCAATTTACATTAGCAAAAATAAGGTAAACTCCACTTAATCCACCACACCAACAAAAAGTGTCCCCCAATCACAAAACAAATTTTTATTGAAAGTAGTGACCCCCCTGGGATGTGGGCACACAACAAAAAAAAAAAGGGGAATCCAAAGGGGGTTGTGTACCAATTTCAATAAGCCGCCTCATCCTAATGCAAAAGCAAGCGACCTAAGTGCATGTTTGCGCCATTATTGATGACCCAAGGACCGGGCGAAGAACATTCCCCATTCCATTCGCTGCTCTGGTCTCTGGTAAGCCACAAAAAAACAGACGGAAAGCAACATGTTTCGGTTGTGGCTGCGGGGTTATGCGTTTCTTGAGGGGTTCGCATTCGATCCATCCCCTCCATCCTTGGTGCGGCTCACAAGGGTGTGAAACTAGCGCAACGAATCGTCGAAGGGTGCCGCCGGGGCACGTGGCTGAAACACACACAAACACACACAGAGAACTAGACGCCAGACGTGGCATAGCAAAGAAAATAATAAACATAAAAAAAAGGGCAAATCCTCGAGGCGCCCATGGGCATACCGGGGATCATGTGGGGGTGTTCTACTTGATGACTTTATGTCCCCAAGGTGTGCAGCAGCAGCAGCAGCCGCACGCAGTGCAGTGACAGGTCCTGCCCCGCTCTGGGCCCCAGGCTTTATCAGTCGCTTCTTTGGAATATAAAAAAGTTAAATTTATGTGTGTCAATAGTAAAGATTCGAAATTGAAGGAAATTGATGATTAGCTAAAGGTTTTTATGGGTCAAAATAAAGTGTAGTTAAGTCTACAGGCAGTGGTTTTTTTTCGTTAGACATGGGGTTGAGGTGACAGTAGTGTGCTTCCAAATACCATTCGCAAAAATCCAATTTTGTTCAAGGAAAATAAATACAAAATAATACTTTTAGCAAATGAATATATATATGTATAATGATTCTGATATTTATAAGTATGGCAAATTCTTCATTAGGATGGTTACGATCAGTTACCAAGTTAGTTTCTACGAGATCCATATCCATAGTCCGCCTCTTTGCCAGATTGAATATGACTACATCTTCTAAAATCAATAAATGGCCAAATTAATAAATTAAATTCTCTATCACTCTCACACACTCTCCCACTTGATACTTACGATTCCTTAATTTTCTTGATCATTGCTGCTTTTGATGAGTTTTTTTTTTGGAGATACATAACACATTCGTCTCGCAGTATTCTATAGTATTTATAGCAGTATCCCCTAATCTTCCCTTGGAGACTATTGCAATACGAGAGCAGTGTAGTCTCCAGAGCTAATCTTTCCTTGTTATACTTTTGGAATGCGTGTAGATTCGCGAGCTTGTCTTGATTTTGTGTGGAACCCAGATGTAATGAATCCATCAGAAATTTATGCCAAGCCATGAATTGCTGATTGCCGTTAGCAAACCCTCTGATACTTTCCAATTCAGCTCTGATCTGAACATCGATTTCAAGTGCCTGCTGCACTTCTGGTAAGGTCGTACTGCTCGCTAGCTCCAGCCAAAGGACTAAAATAATGGAACAAATTGTAGATTAAAAGAACATTTAAATGTATATTTTGCACTTGCATAAAATTAACTTAAATAAGAGTTTCATTCTATAGCGCAGGGGCTCCATTATTGGACTAAATTTATAGCCAGCGGGTACCTTAATAAGGGAAACCCACAACGAAATCGATTCGTTACCATCTAATTGCAAAAGTTGCCATGATAATTATATTTATGCATATATCGGAACTGTAACGCTTATGAATTATAATTATTCATGAAGGACTTAAATAATTAAAAATAGGCATTTTTAATTCATAAACTCATTTATAATTTCACAAGAAAATATTATTTAATGCATATTTATTAATATTATAAATTAATGATTTAAATAATTCAAAATTTTAATTTTTAAATTAGTAAATTGCACAACAAATTTTTTTTTTTTCATTATATTTTCACAATAAAATAATTGAAAATATTGTATAATGATCCTGATATTTATAAGTCTGCTTTTAAGTCAGTAGATGCTGGTGGGGTGGGACTCATCATTAGGGGGACTCTTCTTCAACATTATTAAGGCCTGATCAAGGTCTGGTCATCGATCAACACCTATTTCCAGCACTATTTCCCAAAATGATAGTCCCTGGATTTATCCATTATCATAAGGACACATTTCCTAGAAAATAAATGATACATTTATAAAATATGTCTCTCTCTCTCTGTCTCCACCTCTCAAGTGATACTCACAAAGCCTTCAAGTTTTCAATAAACTCGCCTTTTTCTTTGTTGCTCTTCGTTAGAGTATCAACACATTCTATACGCAGTTTTCTAAAGGTGTCATGACATTTTCCCCTAATTGCCTTTTGGATTTCTTCGCAATAGCCTAAGAGCTGCTTCTCCAGAGCCAGTCTTTCCACGTTATACCTTTGATAATCGTGCAGAACTTTCAGCTTCTTAGCATTTTTTTTGGCACCCCACTTGCGTGCTGTCTTCATTTCAGCATGATATTCCTTGTACTCATCATTGCAATATGCAAAGCCTTTCACATTTTCAAATTCGGCCTTGATTATCGCATCGATTTCAAGGGCCTGCTTTATTTGATCAGCTGTTAATTCAGAGCACAGCACTGAGTTCATCCAAAGATCTGTAAAATTATTGATTAAAATTATAGCTCTGTGGCTTTTTTGTTTCACTTACATATTAAAAATGTAAATGTGAACTTCATCTTTCCGCAAAGGCGTCTTTACTGAGACTATATTTGTAGTTATCAGTAAATTGTAAAGAGAAACTATGACGATATCGATTCGAATCGTATAAGTACAATCTGCGAGTATTTGCTGAAACTACCATGAAATATTCCAGAACTGGCACCCTACTCCCCATGATCATGGAATAAGACTTGAAAGGTATTTGAATGTATTTAAATGATTAAAAAAATTATTTAATAATAGTATAAAAGCGTATAATTATAAGATAATTAATATATGTTTCTTATATATTTTATTTTTATTAATTTAAGGCTAATATAAAATATTAATTTAATTTCATATGCGAGCACTAGCTACTGGGGCCTTCAGCTCTGCTGTTAATAGCAGCTGTTAGATAAATTCGTTAATTTGTTCCATAAATTGGTAAATTAGATTTATGTTTTGTCGTTTTGTGTGCTTAAATTATTATTGTTTTTTTTTTTTTTTTAATTCTTTTCTTTTCCCTGACCATTTAGTACAGATATCTAATATCTAATAGCGTTGTGCGATTGTACCAGTTAGCAGGTGTTTTTTAGATATTCATGAGTTTTTTTTTGGTTCCAATTCAACCAATCAAGGTCTGGTTAACGATCAACACCTGTTTCCAGCGCTATTTCCCAAAATGATAGTCCTCGGATTTACCTATTACCATAAGGTCACATTCGCTGGCAAATAAATGATAAATTTTTAAATTATGCCTCTCTCACTGTCCTCCCTCTCATCTAATACTCACAAAATCGTCAATTTTTTAATAAAGTCGGCATTTGCTTTGTTTCCCTCCTTAAAGGTCTTCACACACTTTATACGCAATTTTCGAAAGATGCTATGACATTTTCCCCTAATTGCCTTTTGGAAATTTTCGCAATACTCCAGAAGCCGCTTCTCCAGAGCCAGTCTTTCCACGTTATACTTTTGATATGCTTGCAGATTTTGCAGCTTCAATTCAGAAATTTATGCCATGCGTTGAACTCCTTATTGAAAAATGCATAGCCTTGCACATTTTCAAACTCAGCCTTGATCATCACATCGATTTCAAGCGCCTGCTTTATGTCATCAGCCGTCAAAGCAGGAGAATCATTTGAAGGTTGTGGAAATTCTGGCGGCTTTATTATCCCACACAGCACTGGGTTCAGCCAAAGATCTGTTAAATTATTAATTAAAATATTATAGCTCTGCTCTGTAGCTTTTTTGTCGCTTACATGTAATAAATGTAAATGAGAACTTTATCGTTCAGCGAAGGCGTCTTAACTGAGTGTAACATTTCTGGACATTTTACTGATTCCAAAGAGAAACGATGATGAAATCGATTCGAATCGCTTAATTAAAGCATGCTAATTACCAAGAAATATGATTTTTAAATAATATTATTAAATTATTTAATTGATGATGTTGAACTTTTCTTGCTGTATCTTCTGTTAAGCGAGAAAACTGCTCTTTCTTTCAGTATTTTTTTTTACCATGGGGCTAATTTTTTTATATATAGTTATACTCTTTACTTTCCAATTCAAATTTTTTTTTATATATAACTAAATTATACTTCTCTTTTCAGTTCTACCGAATGTACGCGCCATAGCTATAAATAATGAATACCACAGATTTTTTTTACTGGTGAGTGAATGATATATTTGATGACCGTTTCTAATGATTTTCGATATATAGGTGAAAAAATATCATTTATTTATACACTAAGAAATATATATAACAAATATATACGATATTCTTTCTCCGATTTAGACACAGATTTTTGGATAAATGGGTAGATTTTAGCTTTCTTTTTAACGCTGCCAAATGGGAACCATATTAAAGCTTTAAACCTAAGGAAAAGCACAGAATTTTCTCTGTTTCCAGTGGCTATCCCCAGTGCAATCCTTCTGAGAAACCCACAGACGCAACCTTTTTCCGTTTGCCCCACTTACCCCCCACACACATCCATATATTTACACTCCCCCCCGCCCACGTTGTTTTTTCAGTCCTAACCTAAATCTCTGAGCGCATTTGTTGCTCCCGGCACTTTTCTCTTACGGTTTCTTCCTTCCATCTCTCTCTCTGTCTGTTACTGTTACTGTTCGTTTCCTTTTTGCTCTTTTCGCCCTTTGCTGTTTTCGTTTACTCACAATAAAATCAAAGATTGCGTCTGGGATTTTGTTTTCGCAAAACCTTAAAAGAAAACCAAGCCAAATAAGCATCCGAAACCCTCCAGGGATCTCCAACTGCGTGTGCCCAGAGTCGCTGGGATGGGGCCGAGTGGCCGAGTCCGAGTGTGTGCCAAATAATAACTTATTGATTTAGATTGCAACTTTAACTCGAGCTTCAAGATTGGCGTATAAAATATTAGCAAATACATATATAGACAGTGGGCTGGCTACTGCAGGACCCGGTCTCCTTACCGCGGGCAGTTTTTCCAATTAGCAACAAAACAAAGGCAAATCAAATCCCAATCCCAGTCCCAATCCAAAGCCCAGAGAAAAAAAACCGCACAAATAATTACATTGGCTGCCAAACGCAGCTGGAGGGCACAGAAAAAGCAGCAGCAGCAGCAGAGTACACAGGCTAACAGGAAAAACAAAATGCGAGTGGAGCAGGAGCGAGGAGCTGGCAGGACTCCTGCCAGAAGAAACAGTAGCCAGAAAGGAGAGCATCGGAAGCAGCAGCTTTAGATACTCTTACAGACTGATTGTTGCTGTGGTAGATGTGATTTAGCATTATTTAGGGTTTTTCATTTAAATGATCTATAAACAAACGACAGCTTCTACTATATATAGATTTTGAAACCAAAGAAATCAAAATATATTTACACACGAAAACGCCATAAAGATAGCTGGTTTCTTTTTCTTTGGCTGATAAATAAAGTAATGATTCTTTATCTATATAAGACTGCACTGTTCAATATTTGATTGCCTAATCTTCAGAAATAAACAAGTTTTTGAACCATTGTTGTAGCGATTCAGGCCCATACCATATTTCAGCATATTTTATGCTGAAAAAGAAGGATCTGTGCCTATTTAAAACTAGATATCATCGAGACTGTGTTATTTATCAGCATCGGCATATCGTCGGAGGGAAAGCTGGATACTTTCTACAGTCAAAAATATTTCCTTCTATGCTTCACAAACCCCAGTTACACATACCAAATACCCACTGTTAAAGAACATCCAAAAGATGTGTAACTTCCGGTTAGAGGATTAACTCTGGCTGTGTGGGTTTCTCTATCTGTGGATGTCAAATTGGCACCGGCAAAAGCAAAACCAGACACAGAATCAGCAGCAAAAACAACGCAAAGAACATAACGCTGGGTTTGGGGTTCGGGCAGGGGCTTTGGGGTGTGGGGCGTGTTCTGGAAAATCTGTCTGTAATTGAGCTTGAGAGTCGCAGCTGTTTTGGCGGATTTAACAATGCGTTGATGATGAGCCCCCATCCCGTTCTGACTTCGTCCCATTCTGTGCACGGTACCCGACTCGCTCTGTTCTGTTCTGTTGGGGTCTTCTTCTTCTCCTCTGCTCCACCAATGTCAGATTTTCTTAGTGGACACTCAGGCGATCCTTTGTGGCACTGTGGGGCGAGAGTGATTTTAATTTTGGTCTGAGAAAGATAGAAATTGAGTTTCTGCATGATTTTCATGGTTTTTTTTTGTTTATTGAGAATTGGATTTAGATTCTATATAAATATGATATGTTCTTTATAGATTTATAATTTAATTGAGGAGCTATCCTGTAGAGTAGATTTGACCATTCTTATTGTCAGCTGGGAACTTGTTTTCTTTATTTTAGCCTTTTATATATTTTTTTCCTGAGTTATTGACTCATTGACTGATGATTGCCCTGCCCCATATGACTTCGTTTTGGTATGAAATATCACTACTTCTGTTTCACATGGATATTTATAGGATAAAGAGGTTTCAATATGGGATATACGATAGGGAATCTATTGAAAAAACCCTCACATTTGGAGGACTAGACCCAGAAGAGTTATGTCGCGTACTGGCTAAGGCATTCCACTAGCGATTGGCACATTTATTTCAATAAAAAATTAATTTTTTGCTAGGTTCCAAAACATTTCTAAAAACATTTAAACTCCCTTTTAACCGCCCGTGAACCACTGTGCCGTCTGTCTACCCTCTAGCACAGAAACATTTCCCCAGCAATTTGAATTAATAAGTTTATTATTTTCCATTTTTCCCTCTGGTTCTAGTCCTGCTCTTCTCTCTGTGGCTCCTCTCCTGCAGCGACTTAAGCAGCGGATTTGTATTTTATGTTATTTAATTTGCTCGGGGAGGCTAGTTGGGTGTGGGTGGTGGGTGGTGGGGGATTGACAGAGAGTCAGGTGCAAGTGTTATTGGGGCCAAGGATTTGTACTGCTCTTAGGATGCGGATGCGGACGCGGCGGCCTCAGCTGTGGGCCCAGCACACAGCGGCTCAAAGTCTCATTTAGTTTTTGGGAGCTTTGGGCTGCCACTTAAGACCCCATTCCCCCTCCATTTCCCCCGTCCATTGAATTTCAAGATGGGATTTTTCCTCTCTATTTTTTCTCAGTTTTTTTTCTGTTTATTTCTGCTGAAATTTCTTAAGCTTAAGTATTTAATATTTAATTGTTGTTTACACATAATTTGTCAGTGTTTCTTTTTCTTTTTTAATGCGCTTACAATAGAATAGTTTTTCTTGTTTAATTTAATTTTCTTGTTTAATTTTTCAACATGATTGTGCTCAACGATTCTCTGTTTTCTTCTGTTTTCCATTTTCCCATTAGGTATATGTTTTTCTTACATTTTTGTTTTGTTGATTCAAAATTAAGTGTTGCAAAATTTAAGTTCGTTGTGTGTGTTTTTTTTTTTTTTGTATGTATTTTATAATTCATTAAAAGAGCGTGTAATTTTTAATTAATGTTTTTTTTTTAAACATTATTTTTTTTTAGCATATTTAACAATGCAAAATCAGTACTTAGGATTGATATATTGTAAGAAATTAGAATGGGTTTTTGCGTTGAATGCAATTTTCAAGTGGAAAATATGTGGTTTAGAAAAACAGATCGTCTTCTAAGCAGTGCAATGAATGGAGATCGTCCCCAAGGGAGCCCCATAATAAATCACCAAATAACAAAAAAATTGTAGTAGAATCTCTCAAGTGAAAATTCACATCTGGAAAGCTCTAGAAAAAGTTTCCTTGGAGCCCAAAAGTCACAATATACAAGCGATGGAGATGTCCAAATTTCTTTAGAAGATCAAAACTAGTCCATCGATAATGAAGATTTTCTTTATTTAGTGTTAGATGCCAAAAGCTGGGAATTAAGTTTTTAGCAGCTTTAGTAGCTTTAATTAATTAGAGCCTTAACTTGAGCTCAAGAAAAGAATCTTTGCAGTCTATCGCTATTAGAATTAAGTCGATGGAGATCTCTTCAGTGAAGCGGTAGACGGAAAAAATAGAGTAAAGTCTTCCAAGTGAAGCTTCAGTGATCTTCTAAATGACTATAAAATAGACTAGAGAACTTCTCAGAGAACATTTACTCTGTAAATTCTTTAGAATAAAACCAGCAAAGATCACTTTGGAAATGGAAAATTAATTAGATCTCCTAATACAACTTTAGACACTCAAACAATTTTGAATAGAGTCTGTGGGTATCTTTTTACTATAACATAAGGCATAGAATTTTAAGATCTCTATAGATCAGCCAAAAACAGCTTTGGGTCACAAGAACTATCGAAAAAAGTCTTTGAAAATCTTTCTAGTGAAGCTTTACATACCCAAAATCTCTGCCTTACAGTCAATATCTTTCAAATCTTCCAAACTAAACCCTTTATTAACGGCACATGAAATTTGCATTGCATTCTCGACAGGCCGAGCTTATTTGTTTTAATTGAAATTCAATAATGTCTTTTTTTAATTCGTCATATAATTAGCTTTTTTTACTACAGCGAAACCTGGTTAAAGCTTTTCATATAATTATAGAAATAATGATAGATACATATGTAGATACAAAGATTTTACATGTACAATAAATATGATTAATAATATTTGATTTTTTCCTGGCTCTTGAGAAAAAACAATAAACCGAAAGCAGGGACAAAGGCACAGGGGAAATTTGATTAAAGGAAAGATATCATTTGTGGTGTTTTTTTTTGTTTGTTTTTTGTTTGATATGCTAGACGTCTAATTGACTTTTGTTTAGACTTTTAGATTGAGTGGGGGGCGAGTGAGAAATATGTGTGCATCTCTGAGATTAGCCTAGGATACTTGTAGAGCTCTTTCCTACAAAGCATTTTGCATAAAAGTT